TCCTTAGAGGGAAGGAGATAGAAGAAGAGCCCAAAAGCTCCCAGGCTTGGAGCTGGGTTTGGATTCTGACTCCACACTTGCTGTGGTGTCCAGACAAGCTATACAGCACCTCTAAGCTTTTGTTCCTTCACTGGCCAATGGGGGTGATGATAATAGCCAATTCATTTATGCAAAGTACTCATTTCAGAACTTGGCATTCAATAAACCATAAGAGAAGGTTATTCTTTGGCTGTAGATGACTTGAGATTCGTAGACTATTGGATGATGACAGAAAGAACTGAAGTTGTGCCAGCTGAACAATTAATTACAATTGTGCCCAAAACACCTTACGCAGATGTTGTCAACCTTGGCTGTACATTTGCTTGTGCATGGATGTTTTAAAAAGGCTGACAGCTGACCTCTCCCTTTAATCAATCTGGGTTGTAGCCTGGTGATAGAATTTCTCAATTTCCAAGGTGATTCTAGTCTGCAGAGACTGTGGCTTTATCATAACAACCATGTCTTTAAGGCTCTTCTGTTCTAGAGTTTAAAAGAACAGAGAATTATGTTGGTGGAAAAGCTTTCCTGAAAAAGTTCCTGCCAACTAGTTTTCCTGCTGGCTACATTTGGCCCATTGCCTGTTTTTCTAACTAAAATGTTATTGGAGCACACCATGTGCATTTACTTACATAGGGTCTATGCTTTAATAGCAGAGTTGAGTAGTTGTGACAGGGGCACATGACCCCAAAACTAAAGAGATTACTGTCTGTGCCTTGATAGAATATGTTTCTGACCCCTGCAAAGATCTCACCAATTAAATTATGATACCATTTGCCAAAATGCATCCAAGATAGTCAGCTTACTACACACAAATGTCTCCCAGATCCTGTTCAAGCTCTTCTTCCTTTTATAAAATCTCAAAATGAAATAGTGTCTAGCTTTCTGCTAAAAGTCAATAGTAATATACTTTAATGCATTGAATGGTCAGTCTTGCTACTTTTTATCGAGTCACCTATTTCTGAACAAAACTTTACATTTTTAGTATGTTAACATTTCTCTCTAAATTTTAAGTTTTGTAGAAATCGCGATAATCTGCTCATCAAAGAAAATCAATGTAGGACTTTAAACACAGAAAACTGGAGTGCTATTTTCAAATCTATCCTGTAGTCAGACATGGTGGATCACATCTGTAATTCCAATCACTAGGGAGGCAGCGATCAGGAGGATTGTGATTCAAAGCCAACCTGGGCAAAAAGTTCATCAGACCACATTTCAACCAATAAAAAGTTGGGTGTTGTGCTCTTCTAATCCCAGCTATACAGAAAAGGTAAATAACAGGATTGTAGTTCAGGACAGCCCAAGCATGAACATGAAAACCTATTTGAAAAATAACTAAAGCAAAAATGTCTGGAGGCATGGCTTAAGTGGTAGAACACCTGCCTAGCAAGCACAAAGCCCAGAGTTCAAACCCTAGTATCGCAAAAAAAATTAAAAAAAGAAAGAAAAGAAAAAAGTACCCAATCAGCATGTATGCCTTGTCAAATGATCCTAGTAGTTGGGATCGCCATATAGCTGTTTCTGCATTTTTCAAGTCTTTTTTAAAATGTTCTTAGTAGGAGAACATTCTTGTGCATTTCTCTTCACTACTTAGAAAAACAGAGATTGCTGCTAGAGGAGTGAGTGGGTGAGGCAGCAACCTCAGGCCACACAGCACACACTCAGCAGTACCTCAAGGTCCTTTCTGTCACCTGTGCTCCAAGGCCAGTCCTCACCTCATCAGGAATCACATTTCTCTCCTTCCTACCGGTGATGTCACCCCATCTTTCTGAGCCAGCGGCAACTATGGCCAGTGTCTGGAGAGAGCCCAGAAGTGGTCCTCCATTATGCCTTGTTGATGAGGACCTCACAGCTAGGTGCTTTTCTTTATGCTGTCTTAGCATCATAGTCACTGATGGATGCTCCAAAGCTCATTAACACTTCAACAGATTTTAATAAAACTGGTTATTTTGACAATAGAAATGGGACAGGTTTAATCACAAACACCGCATTTGGTCTTTGGTGCTTATTTAATCTGCTTCAATAAGAGAGCAATTCTCTTGCCAGGGACAGAGAAATATAAAAATTTCGCTAATACAAAGAATTTTGAAAAAGTCATGGCCATGTGGCCCATGTTCTTATTGCTCTTCGTCTGAATGTCCCTCAGGGAACAGGGAATGCTCTGCCTTAAGAATAGGTGTGCTCCTAGAGTGAACCAGTCTCTCCAGAGTGGGAGGGAAGCCAGCTTTTCTTGTGCCTATGGAGATCCAAGCTGCATTACTAGGAAGTCACATGAACTTATTCCCAAGCTGAGTGACTAGAGAGGACAGGCTCAGGTTGGTGCCTTAGGAAAATGGCTCAGTGTCATCTGCCCTGACCTGGAACGTAGAAGCTTCAGGGAAGTGGCGTAAGTGGTCATATCTCCTCATGGGATTATAAATAAGCCTGTGGATGATAATATCATGTCACTTCATCTTCATGTCCTTTACAACAGCACAGGTGAGTGGGCTAAACAGTGAGGAAGGAGAAAGGAAAAGTCTGTCTGATTCTATCTCTTTTCAGCTGTGGTTTACTAAAATTATCCCCATTATGTTTTCATGCTTTCCATTTTGTCATGAAAGCCTTGTTTTCAAATGAAGGAGCATATTGGACAAGCCACTGCTATTAATATAGATTTTCTAAGTGCTTGAGAATCACACTTTTTAGAGTCAGTCAAGTGGGAGTTTCGAAAACATTCCAGTCATCATTATTTGCAGAGGAAGCTGTATCCTGGTGATTTAGTGAAGCCATGGTCAGATGCACATGAAAGTAGCACTTCCCTCAGCCAGTGCCCTCTGCCTCCAGGAGGCTCCTTCTCCTTCCAAGGCTAAAGGCTCCTCCTCCACTTGCCACTATCTCTGTCACTAGAGAACCAACTTCTACCACCTGTCCCATTTCCTGGTCTTTCCTCCTGCATTTTGTCACCCTTGCATCCTAACACAAACTCAGTTTGTACTGGATTGAGCAGGGAATGGGGATAGTACAGGAGTGGTGGTTTTATGGTTCACAGGAACTGAGTGAATAAACAGTACAGGAGTTAGCCACCTGTGTGCAAATGTTCCTGGAGTCATCATTCACGCCTGCATCTCGGGACCTCCTTCCTGGACAGCCCTTGAATCAGACAGGACCCATCTAATTGCAGCAAACCAATACTTACGTTAGATCAGGAAAAGGATTTAGAAGACTGTTACCTGCTTCCAAGAATGCTGAGCCAGTAAGACTGCAGGTCGAGCAGAGAGCATGGTGGTCTTAGGACCTCAGCAGTGGGTATGGGGACCTGCGCACTGCTTACTTCCAGAGACTCTGAGTGCTGAAGAGAGATAGTTCTTGTCCCGTGTCTGCCTCTGATCCAGCCAGCCTGAGGGGTGGGACTGCCTTGCTCTGGGCTGAGAGATTTAGACGCCCAGGTGGACAGATCACTGTCTGCTGTTGTTCCCTAGCAGTGACAACCTGTCCCTGTCTGTTTGTTCTGGGGAAGGCACTGATCGGCAGGGATATGTTTTCTTTTAAGATTTAACTTTCAAGAAAAATTACATTCTTTTAATATTTATTCTGTTAAGAATTGGGCTGCCAGGTGATACATGCCTGTGTTCCCAGCTTGGGAGGCTGAGATAAGAGGATGAGCCCAGTCTTGGCTATACAAAAAAAGAAATCAGCTGATATTAACTTAATTTGGATCTTTTATTTCTTTGACAGTCTCAGTGTAGGATTAGATTAGAGGAGGAATCAGCTTAGATTGTATGATTTGGCAAAAATATAAATATAAGATAGCTATTTTATATTCAACAATTCATAGTCATTTATTTCAAGGTTCTGTGCTAGGTATTTTAACTAGCTATTAACTAATATTGAGTTAGTGTCCTGTGACCGTGTGCTGAGTGGTTTTGAAATTGTGAACAGATTTTTATTCTCTAGCAAATCTCTATCTGGGTACTGCTGTTCATTTTCAGAGCAGAAAATTAAAACTTGGGGATGTTAAATAACTTAAAAAGAAATGATTTGAGTTAATCATGTGTGGAAAAATGCATAGAAAAAAGTGGTGGGAAACACATTGGACGGTGTAGCCAAGCATGGGTAGAATGCAGTGCTGATGATTTGGGGCTGTTCTGTTGGTAACAAAGACCCACTGCGGTTCATAACTACCTCAGGAGACATTTCTGGCACTAGGGTGTGGAATGGGAGAGACTGAAAGTTAGCAGGAGCCTTTGGTGAGGGGCTGTACAAAGTTCTAGCCAATTTGAGCCTGGATGGCAACTGTGGCAGGGAGTGGGATAAAGGGTATGGGCTTTCTTTTAGGCCCCTTGGTGTTGAACAATTCTCTCATAGAGTGCTACCAATTCTGGAGTTGCCATTGATTTCAGTGCCAAAATTTAAGTAAATAAAACAGGCTAAAACAAAACTATTAAATATTGAAATTTTTGGATTATTCACCAAGTCTCTTTTCTTTTTTTAACAGTAAATGATTGAACTCCCAGGAGCCAGGTGTTTGCTTGGGAATATTAGAATTATCTATAGTTCTAAGCCTTATGTTACTGAACAAGTACCTTGTTTAGCTGTGATACCTCCTTTATTTCATTGAAGTAAGTAACACAGATTGAAACAAACAAACAAACAAAAGCAATGTCAGTTTTCCTGATAGCAAGTCTGAATTGAAAAGGCATGGCTCAAGTGGTAGAGCCCTCTCCTAGCAAGCTCAAGGCCCTGAGTTCAATTCCTAGTACCAAAAAAGAATCTGAATTGAAAAATACGATGCCTAAGAAAGACATGCATTAATGTGATGTATTGTGTATAGGGAGAGAGGTGAGATGAGGAGAAAGGGAATGTTTCTTCTGTTATGGCCTTGATATTTTTACATTCTGTAAACATTTTCTATTGTTCAAGGACTAGGGACCTAAAGATTTGTAAGTGTATCCTAATAGGTAATAACCATTTTCTTCTTCCAGCAGATTTCTGCTCATGGCAGATCTTCTTCCAATGTAAATGGTGGGCCTGAACTTGACGGTTGCATGAGTCCTGAAGGTAGTTCTCAATCTCGTTACTTTTATACAGAAAGTCATCCATGTAAGCTTAGTGGCTGCCCCAAACCCATGGTGCCACAAGTTTATTCTCTTAAACAGAATGTGATCATGTCACCTGTTAGTCTAATTATCCTTATTGAGTGGTGGGATCACTTCAGGAGATATAAAATCTCATTGTCAGTTATCAGGCTATCACAGTTTCAAATCTTTGACTTGGCCTTCCTTTATTTTTCCTTACTGATGATCTGCTCCCAATTCCTAAGTGTATTTCCTTTTACTCTATTAGTTAACACAAATGCGTGTCTGCAATATGCTGGGCACTGGGGCACATGTGACAAGTGGTCCCATCCTACTACACCCCACCCATACATACCTTTTTGTGAAGGCTTTGAGCCCAGGATTGGACTTAATAGGGCCAATACCTGCATACTGTTTTCTTTACTAGAAAATCTCAAAGAGAAATCTCCAGAATTGTGCTAAGATTAAATCCCTACCACCATCCCCTTCCTCTTTCCTGAACATTGGCAGAAGAATTTGGAAATGTTGTAGTTAGAGTTTCCTTTTACCCAAGGTTAGTCATTTATTTCAGCTGATATTTTAGGGATTTATTAGGCTTATTGCTTTTACTGGTTTTCTATACCAACCAACAAAGTCAAAAGGAAACTGGTGAGTCAGGTATTCTATTCAGGAAATATGCTGAGAGGTTTTCTTTAGTTTTACCATAGATTTATAAATAAATGCATGCAATTTATTAATTTGCATACATGTAGGAATCCATATGAAATGCTGATGTTTCCTTTAGACTCTGTGTTTATCCTTTCTGCAGGTGTGAATGGAAACAGATGCTCTGAATCATCAACTCTTCTTGAGAAATACAGAATTGGGAAGGTCATTGGTGATGGAAATTTTGCCGTAGTCAAAGAGTGTATGGACAGGTGAGTGTGGGGGGGGCTGTCATTATTTGTTTACCTGCACATACACTTCTCCTTTGGAGTTTATCTTCCATTTTCTTAAGTGTTTTATTTTTTATTAGCATATACTAATTGTACAAAAGGGTTTCACTGTGATATTTCCGTTCACGCATAGACTGTACTTTGATCAGATTCACCCCCTCTATTTTATTCATATCTTAATGAACAAAAGGCCTTTCTGGGAAATCTCTCTTTTCTCCTTCCAAACAGTCTACCCTTGGGACCAGCTACTTGGCTTGCGCAGAAGCAGTTTGACAGGAGAAGATGTATGTCTACACATAAAATTGTTCTGTATGCATTTGGGCTGAGAGATCAGATCTCTTCCATGAGCCAGAGAGGAATGAGGAAGAATAGGAGTCATTTAAATAGAAAAACAATCCCTGTAACAGCTGTGCTGGCACTGTTCTCAGCCTGTACTTGTATTAGCTCATTTAATCCCTACAGCAATCTTCTCAATTGATACTTAATTGATAGACTAATAATTGAGGACACATGAGCCCTGACTTAAGCTCAGAAGTCGCCAACATTTCCCTGTTCCTGGCCTTTTGTAAACAATGTGAAAGCCAGAAAAGACTCAGCTAAAAGTCTTTGTGTTTATAGACCACTCTACTACCGTTCTTGTGAGGATTTTTCCAAAAAAGTCTTGGCAACTACAATTTATCCATTCTGCTAAATCTCCAGTGAGGTTTCAGTGCTCCTCATATTGGTACACAGGTAACTCCTTGTTCTTGAAGCCTTTTTACTGAGCTCTGGTACACAGATTGCCACCTAACGATGACCAATGAAGTACCTAAGACGTGACTTCTAAGGACCTGTTAGAAAATGAGTCAGGGTTTGGTTTATAATATGGGGAGAGCAGTTTGAATAAAAGTTACTCTTTCTGGCTGGGCCTAACCCCTGGTGTGTGATGACTGCTTGACAAAAGAAGCTGCCCTTGAGAGAACAACTGTAAGCTAAGAGTGTTGTAGTGCTCTTCACTGAACTGTGCTCAGTTCAGTATTTTTTACATGTTCAGATTAGATTATATATTATGTTTTAACATAATCTAATGAGTAAAAATTAAGTAATGACATCAAGATTCTTGTATCCAATAATGAATATAGAATTTTTAAACCTGTTGAAATCGCCATAAGAAGGGAGACTAAGATATAATGGACAAATGGCTTATAATACATATATAATGGAAATGTTTCAAGGAAAGACCCTGTATAGCTATCTTAAACAAAAATGTCTTGTCTTTTTTTCCAAAATGGAGAACAGGGAGGCAAAACAGGTCCTGTCTGGGGGTTGGTACCTGTGGGAGGGAGGAGGACGTAAGGAAGAGGGTAGGAGAGTGAATATGGTGGAAATGTTATGTATTCATGTATGAAAAAGGAAAAACAAGACCTGTTGAAACTGTTCCAGGCATCAGGGTGGGGGGGGATAAAGGAGAAGGAGGGAGGGGGTGAATTCAACCACGATATATTATAAGAACTTTTACAAATGTCACAATGTAACCCCAGTACAACAATAAAAAAATTCTTGTATCCAAGTAAGTGATCTCTCTAGTGCCAGCCCTTTAAAGGTGGGAAACATGCACTGGATCCAGCTTGAGGGCATTTCAGGTGTGAACCACGACTGATATGCCTCAGCTGTTAATGGAAACAGACATTGGTAATAAAAATTTTTAGCTAATTTGATCTATTTTTTTCTTAGTTTTATTCTCTCTCCTAAAAGAACTGTCTTGAAATTTAAATAGAAAGAATTTCCTGTCTAGTTCTAATGCAACAGAACTTAAATACTTTAAATATGACTTAATAATACCATAGTTATTAATAATTATAAATGATTTAATTAGCATGCAGTATAGCTTTGGGGTTTTCTTATTCTTGGGTACCTTTCTCCCCTGACTGCTTGACTTCTCTCAGCATAGTTTGTGATACACAGAGGGAGAAAAAGCCAAATCTTCCCTGTGCCTGTTCTGTAGAGGAAATTTGGAAGGATGTACTGCTGATTTATGTCTTTGTTCTAGTTCTCTCTCTCTCTCTCTCTCTCTCTCTCCCCCCGCTGTCTCACTCTTCCTCCCTCCCTCTATCTATTATCATGTATCTGTCTATCTATCTCCATCCATCCATCCATTCATCCATCTAGACAGGGTCTTGCTATGTAACCCAGGCTGGCCTTGAAAGTTCAACTTCCTGCCTCGGCCTCCCCAGGGCTGAGATAACAGACATGCACCACCACACCTGGCTTGGTGTATGTCCTTAGGTGATCTTCCTCTACTTATTCCTAGGTCCACTGGAAAAGAGTATGCGTTGAAGATCATAGACAAAGCCAAATGTTGTGGAAAGGTACAGTATGCCTAAGTGCTTTGTAAAAGTAACTGAGATGATGTGGTGAGATGTTTACTGTGCGGAAGGGATTTAAGTGGGGACTTTGGCCACCAATAATAAAGGGAGAGCAGACAAACTTTCTTTTCCTGGTATTTTTCAGAAACTTTTAATCGTAAGATAGCAAATTGATTTGATTTTTGTCTTGACTATAGAAAATGTAAGTTCTCTTTCTGGGAGATGCTTAGTTCAAAATTCAGCAACATTGAAAAGCTGTGCCAAGAGCCATGAAGGGTCTGAGACATCACCCTACTTTAAAACTAATGAGTTAGCTGTCCAACTTCACAGAGGCTGGCAGAAGGTGCAAGTTCCCTGGGTCAGGGACAGAAGACTTCACTACTCATGGCACAGCAGGTAGCATGAACTCAGTTTGTGCTGGCTCCCTTAACCCCCAAGTTCCATGGAAGTGGGGTGGAGCGGCTCAGGTGAAGGCTGTCCACAGAGGGCTTGTGTCAGAGCTGAGGAACCCCAAGTCTCATGAGATAGCTGCTGGAAGCCTGCTTGGCCTTTTTCCCAGGGGAGAACTTATTTTTCTACCATGGTCAGCTCCTATAGGAGACCCTACATTCGTGTCCCGAGGTGCTTGCTCGGCAAACATCCCTGGAAAGGTCGTTTGGAACAGATGCTCTGAGAGATGTGCGGAAGCACTGTTGAGGGTTCGTTTTCTTCCCTCCCTCTCTCAACTTGGGGTGGAAAAGATCACTGAAGAGAAGCTGCTAGGGAACTGATACTGGATGTTTAAAAAAACTCAAAATTCACTAACAGCGATGACAGAGGCCTTTGGAGATTCCTTTCTGGTAGCATGTCAGTTAGCAGAGCAGGCTGTGGAATTGCAGGGCCCCTCACAGAGCTACTGGCCACATGTGACTACCAAGCCCTGGAAGCCAGGCTATGTCCAAACTGACCTGGGCTGTGAACAAGTGCTAGGACTGGAAGACTTAGTACCAAGAACAGAGTGTAAAAATCTCATAATTACCTCTGTATGTGATTATGTAAAGATGAGATGATACTTTGGATATATTGGGTTAAAAAGTTATATTTTAAATTTTTTTTTGCTTTTCATATTTTTTTTAGATTTAGATGCTAAATAATTTAATTTTTTTTCTTTTTTTTTCTTCTATTATTCATATGTGCATACGAGGCTTGGTTCATTTCTCCCCCCTGCCCCCACCCCCTCCCTTACCACTCACTCCACCCCCTCCCTCTCCCCCCCTCAATACCCAACAGAAACTATTTTGCCCTTACTAAATAATTTAATTTTTATTAGCATTAATTAGTTATACAAAGGGGTTTCATTTTGATTAAACTTGCTCTCTTTTATATTCTTTGTTAATCAACTTCTTTTCTCCCACTTCCTTTTTAACAGTTTTTGGTGGATTTCATGTGCTATTTTCATACATAATGTACTTCTATAATATTCACCCCTCTGTCACCCTCTCCTCTCCTTCTCCCCTACCAAATAGTCTCTTTTACAATCATGTCATATTTTTTTAGGTCTAGATTCCATATATGAGTGAAAATGTGATATTTGTCTTTCTGAGCTTGGGTTATCTTGCTTAACAGGATGTTCTCCAGTTCTATCCATTTCCCTGCAAATGACATAATTTCATTCTTTTTCATGGCTGAATGATACTCCATTGTGTACATGTACCACATTTTATTTATTTAGTCATCAGTTAGGCACTGAGGCTGCTCCATAGTGTGGTTGTTGTAAACAGATCTAAAACGCTGGTGAAATGCCATGGTAGGCAAAAGTGCCTTAACCCTATGCCCATTGCAGGCCTGCAGGCCTCCGGTCCTTGTCACAGGGACTGTCTGAACTTCTCTCATACAGTACTCTTCGCATTTTTTAACGTGGCTGTTAGAAAATTTAGAACTACATACATGGATCACGTATTTCTGTTGGACAAGAGGCTCTGCCTTTTCTTGCCTCGTGACCTATCTGTGTCTGTTTCTTCCTCTAACATTCATTTATTAATGATGTATAAAATGTAAGATTACTGTAACTGTTGATTGAATCAAGGCATGGGAACAGAGAAAGGTGCTGGTATAAATAAGGATTTAACACACATTAACTGTTAATAGTATTGATGTGCCGGAAGAATTCCTAATTAGCAAAGATTCAAAGTGATGGTAGTGACTGTTTACAGTTATGAAACTCCTGAGTCCTCACTGGATATCTTCAAAATTTGATTTTTTTTTCATTTTTCTTTTATTATTCATATGTGCATACAAGGCTTGGTTCATTTCTCCCCCCTAAAACATTATGAAACAATTTTAGAGAACTCTCAGAGCCCCTAAAGTAGAAAGTCCAGGAGGCAAAATTTGTCATTTATTTCTGATTTTTCTACACTGTGCTAGTCAGCAAAACATAGATAGCAAAATGTCTCCTTTTCTTTAAGTTTATGTGTTATTACTTCTTCTAGCAGTAGTATTAATTTTTTCATCTGTAGTAGCCATTTCTCCCTATATAACTGTTGCTCTATTGTATGATGCAAGTAGAATGTATCATAATTTTGGTTGTATTAATTTTTTTAAAGTAAAAACAGAATTGTTACAGTAAAGATATTATTTACCTGATTATAATTTGAGCAGCCACTGAAAAATATATCTTTGAACATAAAAATGTTTAGATTGATACACTGAGACATGAGTAAACTACTTCAAACATTTGGAGCTCATTTTTCCTTGTTATTTAATGTCACTCTGTTTTTATAATTTATGAACATATACTTGTTCGAATTCTTACATTTTGCTTATTTGATCAACTATTTCCACATTAAGACTGTATAAAGTCATAATTTTAAATTTTGATTTGTTATAAATAAGTTGACTGGTAGGTTAAAATGGTACAAATAATTTGTTTTTTAAAATTTGGGGAGATATTCAGCCACTGTTCTGAGGTATTGTTGGTCACCTGTTTTGAGGGTTGAATACAGAAAATTAACAAAGCTGAAAATATTCACTATTTATTAAAATGAATTAGCCATCCCAGCTTGGGAATATAGAAATTTTGCACCTTACCATTAGTGACTTAACTATACTGTATCATCTTTACAGATAAGGAAGCAGAGACTCAGATTAAATAGCATCTCCCCAAAGTTACACATGGGCAGAGCAGTGGTTGGAGTTGGGGTTATTTGGTCACACAGCTGTGTTCTAAGTTCAGTTTGTCCATTGCTTCATGGGATTTGAATCTGGGAAACATTCTTACTCTCTCCTGCCTTCTGTTATAAATGAGCATTATTGGATTGATGTATACATTCACCCAAAATTTGGTGTGTATGTTCTGCATGCATGACACGGTGCATGCCAGTTCTTCAGGTGTTTGGGAGTTCAGGGGAATCATGAAGAAGAGAGTTAGGTGAGCAGTGCAATCAGTAACAGAGCTGGCCCTGAACGCCTTGGTAGGATTTCAATAGGCAGCAGTGGAAGAACAGGCCACCAGGTGGCCAGAACAGGCTGACGAGCAAAGGCCCAGAGGGTGCAAGTACCTCAGTTCTTCTGCATAGATACTATTGCACGGTCTGCCTTGGGGCCAGATTTATGGAGGCTGTTGAGAAGGCTATGGTATTTGTTAGTTAAAAATCTTTCCAGTTCTAGTATTCTCTCTCATTCTAAATAAATATGTACTGAATCCCCACAGTGAACAAGCTTAGGCTTTGTTGGGGCTTATAATTGGTCCTTCTTTCTCTTCCCACCTTATACAGTTTTATAGTCATCATCTAGGTGCTATGGTCCAAGAAAGGAGATAAATCTAGCAGTATATTGTATTAGTTTCTGAGGCCATTGAAATAAAGTTACCACAAACTGTATGGTTTAAAACAATAAAAAGTTATTCTATCAGAGTTCTGGAGGCCAGAAGTCAGAAATCACACTCCCTCTGGGGTTTAGGGGGAGAATCTGCTTCTTGCCTCTGAACAGTTTCGGGTGGGTGGCTGTTGGTGGGCTCCTGGCCCCATCACTTCAATGTCTGCCTGTACCTCCACCTCTTCTCCTCTGTGTTTTCATCACTTCACTTAAACCTGTGTGAAATCTCCTTTTCCTCTTTCTTAGAAGACACTTGTGGTTGTATTTAGGGTCCTCAGATAATCCAAGGTTACCTCTGCATTGCAGAGTCCTCAGTCACATCTACAAAAAACCTTTTTCCACTAAGGTAATATTTGCAAAGTCCTGGGATTAGGACTCAATATCTTCAGGTGGCCATTATTATCTATTACACCTATTTAATCCAGAAACTACACAGTTATTTGAACATTTTATCTCTCCTGCTATATTATCCTCAGCAAAATTCACTAACAGTGAATGAAGCTGTCAGCTCTGAAGCAAGGGGAGTGCCTGGTGTGCATTTTCATGGACACAAGCAGTACAATGAGGAGTGAGGTAAACAAAGTCCTTCAAGACCTCTCACTTCCCAAGGGTTACAGACCAGTACACAGTTGACAGTAGGAAGATAGCTATGATTGACATAAGAATAAGGGACAGTGAGAGTACAGAAAAAGGTCACCTAGTCCAGACCTGACTAAACTCAGAAGGCTACTTAGAGGAGTTGAGATCCGATCTGGTCTTGAAGAATAAATAGGAGCTCAGCGAGAGGTAGGGAAAGAAAGTTCCAGACTGGAAATAGCCTGTGCAAATGCTGCAAGTCTAGGTGAGAAAGGAGGGTGAATGGATTCAGAGGTTCCTGAGGAGGTGGATGGGCAGGGATTGGTGAGTGACTGGATGTCTTAGAGGTAGATGGAAGGAGGGGCCAAGGTGGAATTCCCATTTCTGCTTTGGGTAGTCAGGTCATTCATTGAGATCACCCATGGAAGTGACTGTGGGATGAGGCTGGGAAGGAGGGAGGTTTGTTTACTCCTCTAATCTGTTTCTGTCTTTCTTTGTACTGTTAAAAATCACCATACCGAAAGATAAAGCAGTATCCTCGGCCAGGCTGGCAGTTTTCTTTGTCATTTACTCACACAGAGGCCCACGAAACTCTGCCATGAAATGAGTCATATGTAAATTTTTTGGCGTCAGAATCATGAATCACTTGACATAAATAATGGTAGATGATGGAATAATGGAAGTTCAGTACAGTTCAGAACAGAAGCAATATTCATCCTCTGTTTAGAGACAGTCTCTTGAAAACGTGATCTGGAGAACATTTTCACGTATTGGAAACAGACTACATGTGGGTTGCATAAGAAACAGGGAGATAACATTTGTAGAGGTTTTTACGCAGTGCTTTTATTTTGCTTCTGATGGTGGTTAGTTTAAAGAAGATTGTTCCTGTATAGACAAATTTTTCAGGAATAGAAAGAAGTTGAGAAACAAAGGCTAATAGCTCCCACATCCCAACAACAACACTCACTCTGTGCTTAGAGTAGTATGGTTGGCTAAGATAATGAATAGTAGGGGAGGAAATAATTAATGGTCAAGCACTACTTGCTTGATATTTGACCTAACTGGCCACTGCTGGTGGCCCTGGGAGAAGTTCTACTATATGTTTCCAAAGATTTTTCTTGTGTATTTTATTGGGAAAAGAGAATTTTTGGGAGGAGTAGTGTCCTTGGGTAATAAATATTTTAACTCCAGTCTGAAGAGAGAGCTTTTTGGGGGTACTGGTGATGGGGATTGCTTTACATATATAAATTAGCATCCTAAACAGAGCCCCTGAAGAGAGGTAAATTTACAGATTCTTCTAACTCTGGAGGAGATGAGTAGGGGGGAGAATGGATGTGATGGATCCATTTAACTTTAAAAAGAAAACCCACTTTGCTACAGTGGTGGTAACTACTGTTGCCTGTGCATCTCGTAGATGCACAGCTTTCCCATGTTCACTGAGGTAGATTTGACTCTGCTCTTTTAGTGTGATTAAGGACAGAGTTGGCAGGGATATTCCGAAAGCTTCAGAGTCTTTGGGAGTACAGCTGCTTCTCTGGAGGTCCCAGGGCACTGGCAGCCACTTTGTGCTGCTGCTCTGTAATGAAGCACGTGGGACTTAGAAGCGGGCAGGAGGCCCTGTCCCTGGCTTCTCAGCTGTGGTTTGTTAGGGTTAGAGAATGGTTGTACTTCCAGAAGATTTGGAAGTGCCCGTTGAGTCCTGAGTTAGTCAAAGGCTTCACGGCTCTGTTCGTTAAAGTAGTGCAGTCTTGTCCTTACAGGAAGCCGGGTGCCTTCGTCCCCAACTCAGTGTGAGGCTACTGCCTGTTCCTGTCTTTCCAACGAATTCAATACTTTCATTTTGAAAAGTTCCACTTTGAATTTTACTGAAGTGTTCTGCCTTGAAAAGCAATGATGTGTAGTATAACAAATATGGACTTAAATACCAGAACCCTAGGCTTATATTCCCACCACCAAGGCCTGACCTCAAGGATAAAGTGTTAAAACATCACACCTTGCACAGTGACTGACAGTGTACAAATTCTAGTCAATATTTGTTCCTTTCTTTCCCTCTTCTGTCCAGCATTTGCAGTGTCATTTGCCGGTGTTCATTGAGTGACTTCTTGGATAAGTACAGTGTGTTCAATGCTCAAGAAACACAGCCTACCATGTGCAGGAGCTTGTAACAGATTGAATATGCAGAGAGAAATCTGGGTGTTATTTACTTATTTGTTACAATTTATATCTCCAGCTATTGTTGAAAAGGATTTAAGATGGCTTAGAGTAAAAACACTATACACAAGGATGCATGAAGACCAGAGAGAGACCATGAACAGTATCCTAAGCTAGGAATCAGATAATTTTATCTTACTGCTCTATTAGGACACTAAATTTAGCTCTGAGATTAATGATAACAAAGGCAAAAGAGAAATACGAGTGATGTGTCTTTAAGTAGTAAAGGTTATGAGAGCACCTCTAATAAAGGAGGCTTTATATAAAAAGTATCCTATTGAATACCTAGAAGGTGTAAGAGGACAATTAGCAAATTTTATAGAGCATTCTCCAAATTCAGAATAATTCATTGCTAAAATAAATGAAGATCAATAATGCTTTAAAATAGAGCAGTTGTTTATAATTCATGGGTTAGTTTATTGAGAATAATTCCTTAATTCTATAAGTAAACATTTTCCTAAGTAACATTTTGCCAACCCCAACTGAGTTACTGGCCAGGACTGATAATCTGGTGACGTTTTCAGGGGAGAAGCGATTAGAGTTAAAATAAGCATAGTGGTTCCTGTGGAACTGTGTATTTCCAGATCTCTGAAATACAAGATGATAAGAACCTCTGTCTGACAAATGATTTCACATCTAATCATAGAGGAAGACAGTTTCTTTTTCATGAATGCCAGCATGAAATTAAAATTTGTATTGGGAATAGTTAAAAACAAAAAGAATTGAATGCCAGAAGTTATGTGCCATAAATATACCAAGTTTTCCTAATGCCTCTTTATTTCTGGAAGTATGCTGAAATTAAGATGTAGTTGTGGTCTGGCTGGCTCACAAAATGCACAGTGCTGTGTCCACGTGTTCCCCACACCCCTGCGTGGGAGGCTGCTAAAGGAATAGGCAATATGCTTCATGTTTCAGGGCCATGGCTGAGCCCTTCCTGGGGTGTTCACGAGTCTGCTTCTTTTTGGTTGTGGCAATGAGACGTCCATGCTGACATGTCAGATCCGTAGGAGACCAACAAGGCCAGGGTGTGGCTGTCCTGTGTCAAGAGAGATGCTTCTTACCAGGCACCAGTGGCTTATGCGGGTAGAAACCAGCCCGGGCAAATAGTTCCACGAGACCCTATCTTGGAAAACCCTTCACAAAAATAGGGCTGGTGGAGTGGCTCAAGGCAAAGGCCCTGAGTTCAAGCCCCAGTACTGCAAAAAAAAAAAAAAAAAGAAAAGAAAGAGAGAGAGAAAGATGCTTCTTTTGTCTGTTTTGTTGTCCTCCAGGTCATGGGGACAGAGCAAAGGGTTCTGTGGTTTCTGATCCCCCCCTCCACACCCTTCATTTGACAGGAACACCTGATTGAGAATGAAGTATCAATTCTACGCCGAGTCAAGCACCCTAATATCATCATGCTAGTGGAGGAGATGGAAACAGCAACCGAGCTCTTCCTGGTGATGGAGTTGGTCAAAGTAAGAAGATGGAAAGGTTTCTTCCAAATCCTAAGACTTGCAGTATTCCTAAAGGACTTAGTCAGAAAAGTGCTCTGCTACCTCATAACTCTCATTATGTATAAGCATCAATTTTAATGGCACTTGTGTCAGTTCATCTGCTCAAGGCTGATGACCACATTTCTTACCCTCATAGGACTGCACTGTTGATGTTCTGATATGTTCACTTATGCATCCTTTAGGGTGGAGATCTCTTTGATGCAATTACTTCTTCAACCAAGTACACTGAGAGAGATGGCAGCGCCATGGTGTACAACCTAGCCAACGCCCTCAGGTACCTCCATGGCCTCAGCATTGTGCACAGAGACATCAAGCCAGAGAATCTCTTGGTACGTTCAAGATTTCTGCTTTTTCTGTTCCAGCTCATCTTTGTGTTCCTTTAAAATGATTGCAGTCTCGTGCAAGCAACCATTTGTAAGGAGTGTCATTTTAGTCTAAGCCAGTCTTGCTATATAAGAGACTAGAAAATCCTCGAGACTCGTCAGTGATCATAGAATACTAATGGATTTCTTGAATTGATCTGCATTTACTATTTACCAGACATTAGGAAATATATGTTAATTTATATTTTCGATGGTTATATTATTTGACTTCACATTACTATAACAACATACCTGAGATAATTAACTTATAAAAAGAAAAGTTTATTTTGGCTCATAGTTTTAGAACTTCCAGTCCAAGATCAGGTGACTCTATTGCTTTGGTCTCTGTGGAGTTGCTGGGTGGGAATTAAAAGGAGCACCCTGATAGAGCACCCTGGGAGCCAGGAAGCAAAGGGAGGAAGAAGATGGGACTGTGGGGTCTCACCAACCCCATTGAAGGCATACCGCCCACTGACCAAAGGACCTTCCACAAGACCACACCTTCCAATAGCACTACTCTGGGGACTAAGACTTTAGCCCACGGGCTTCTGAGGGACATTCAGTGTCCAAACTGTACCAGTGATACTGATAGGAAAATTATTTTATGGGACAAGTTGGAGACAGAAGTAGAACATGAAGGTTCATTTACATGCAGCACAGAATTTTGGAAATAGTCCAGTCCATTTACCTCAGCTTCATGGATGTGGAAATTGAAACCAAGAGGTGCTGATTTTCCCTGCATAGAAGTTTCATCTATCCTGTTTTTCTGCAGAAGAAAGCCTTCTTCTGACACTCCGGGACCTTCATGATCTGGTCCCAATCTACCTTTACAGCATCCTGTCCTGTTATTAACTCTTCCTTATCCAAGCTCTATTTAACTCACCTTCACCATGGGCCTTGATAACTGCACAGCTTGCTAAGTGAGAGCCAGTCCTCGTGATCAGGTTGTTGCAGAATTATAGAGAAGCTGCCTGGGGTTTGTAGGTACACAACCCTCCAAACACACATGGGAAACTGAGGCATCAGTGAATTTCCCTGTAAACCGGGAGTATTCATTTCCCAGCTCAGTGGTCCCACTCCCAACTCCATTTCTTCTCTTTTCCAGAGTTTTGGGGGGAGTTGGTTGTTGTTTTGAGTTTTTTGTTTGTGGTGCTAGGGATCAAACACAGGGCCTTACACGTGAGGCTAGCACAAGCCCTCTACCGCTGAGCTGTCTGCAGCCCACCAGTCAGTTTCTTTCTTTCTTTTTTTCCTTTGGCGGGACTTGAAGTCAGGCTCTCACTTGTTAGGCAGGTGCTCTACCACTTGAGCCACTCCACCAGTCCTGTTTTTTAATGAGTTTTTGTGAGATAGGGTCTCAAGAACTATTTGCCTTGTCTGTCTTGAACCACGATCTTCCTGATCTCTGCTTTCTGAGTAGTTAGGATTGCAGGACTGAGCCACTGGCTACTGGCAATAACAGTTTTTTAACATATATAAAGTCTCCTTAGAATCTGTTTTCTCTTGTGCATCAAGAGAAGATCATGTAATTAGCTGATGTGCGAAGGCTGGGAGTCAGGCCCAGAAACAGGCGTAGTAGCACACATATAAGTAGTGTAGGAGTCAGCCATTGAAACCTGGAGCTCTGACCTCTAGATTCAGTTTGTAGGTTGGTATTGCCCAGGAGGAGGAAGTGCCATTGAGACACTAAAAGTAAATACCCAGAGTGACTGTCAGCCTCTTCCTGTCTGGGAAGTAATTCAGTTTTTAAACATCAGAGCACTCAGACATGTGATTTGCATCCCCGTCCTGGGTAGCATTGTCATAATTTAAAACCCTGTCCACGGAGACATATGGGTTGCCATGTCAGGGAGCACAGGGGTGGCCATTAATGCTGTGAGTTATGGCCTGGTGGTGCCCTGTCACAGTTAACTATGAGAGAGCAGTGATAAATCCAGCTTTTCCAAGAGTTCTGGGGACAGGGGAGAGGAGAGGGTTGGTTTCTCATATTTGAAAGTCCTTCTAAATCAACATGTCGACGTTTTATTTAGAAAACATGCAGGTTCACTTCGTACGTGAGACCTGCATTCCTCAATTTTTCTACTTTCGCATTCTGGGAGCCTCTTCTGACAGCATCTCTGGGTGGGGGCATTTGAGTGCTGCAGGACTGGAGTTCTCACAGCGGTAACTGTTTGAATCCACTTGAAGTTGGGCTGCACATGCAGTCTGTAGTCAGGCTTCCAACAGATCCACAGAATCTGCTGCAGAATGGTACTGTGGGATGAATAGGGTCCTGGCTACAAATCTTACTTGGCTACTTAAGAGTAACACGAGTTCTGCGAGTTCTGCGTGCCTCAGTTACCATCTGCAAAACAGAGACAGCTATTGTCTTTCAAATTGCCCCAGAGGGTCACTAAAGAAGTCCAGTGAGAAAATATTTGGAAGAATATTTAAATCTTCAAAGTCCTTGGGAATCTAATCACTGGAGTCCCTGTGCATTTATTCATCTCTTTTTTAGAATCACTTCTTTCTCTCTTTCTCCTTCTCCTCCTCCCCCTCCTTCTCTTTCTTCTCTTCCTTTTCTTCTTCTTTTCTCCTTCTCTTCCTTCTTCTCTTCTCTTCTTCTTCCTCCTCCTCCTCTTCTCCGTCCTCTTTCCCTTCTTCTTCCTCCTCCTTCCTCTCTCCTCCTCCTTCCTCTCTCCCTCCTCCTTCTCCTCCCCTTCCTCCTCTCCTCCCTCCTCCTCGCCTCCCTCCTGATATGGAACCTAGGACCTCATGCATGATAAAGAAGTCCTCTCCCACTGAGATACCCCAGCTATAAAAGTCATTTCTTAAAGCAGTGCAGGTGTGTTTCCATGTTTCTATAGACATACAGCTTGTATTTAATTTTTCCCCCTGCTTTGAAGAGCATCTCCAGTAAAGATTTGAGGCATACTCATAATTTACACATTTGCTTCTGTGGCTAGCATGGGGAGAGGTGAATCAGACAAAATACTGTTATTTCAGGCTTGTCTGCCTCCATGACACTCCCCTCTGATGTTTGGTCGAGGAGCTGTTTGCCAGACATAGTTCAGCTACCATGGACACTCTGTCCCCTTCTATTTATGCTCCTGTGTCTGACTCTGAGTTCTTTGTAGGGGATGTGAGAAATGGGACTTCTAAGAGTTCCGAGTATCGGACCACAGCTCTTAAATACCTCTAGGGATCTCCAAATTGAGTGCTTAAAATAAACACTATTTTTCAAAAGTAGTATCTAATGAGTGTATTTTTAGGTTATAAAAATGAAATGCCAATGATATTAGTAAGACTTTTTTGACTCATGATGCAGACATTTAGGAAATTGTGCTTATAATGTTCTTATCACACAATTACTTTGGGAATGTCTAATGTCTGGGTTTTGGTAAATCATAAATCCTAACTGTAATTATATTGTTTTTATAATATGTAATTACATTATATTGTTTTCATTAGCGTTTACATTAAATGGAGGGCTGAGAGTGTGGCTCAAATGATACAGTGCTTATCTATATGTGCAAGGCCCTGGGTTCAATCCTCAGTACTGGAATAAAGAGAAAATTCTGCCATTCCAGGAGGCCTGTTATAATAGACATAAAAACATAATGGATAGAAACTTGTCCTAAGACTGTGGCTTGACTAACTCTATACTAAGTGACTTTAGGCTAAATCATTAGTATCTTTAGAAATGCTTCTGCTGAGTTGTGGGCTGACCTAGAACTGTGACTATCTGAGAGGGACACTAGTCCTCTCCATTACTCCTGGGATACTCGAAAGTCATGAAGAACTGTGCGTGGTATATGCATACAGTCCGTAAGGCATGGAAGAAGCTACTAAAATACCAAAGTGAAAAAGGTCCTTAGCCAGATGAGGGCATTGACGGTAAGGGAGGAGCTTGGCACTGTCCTTTTGAAAATGTCACTGTAGCTTGGGTCTTGACGCTTTTAATCGATGACTATATAAATCACTCAGTCATTATGTGTCAGACTAATGGATGGCATTCTTAACATGCTTATCTTAAGAAAACTTTATTTTCTACAGTTTCCCCTCCATTAGTCAGTAGAAGTTAAGAGGAAAAATCTAGCTCAGTCCGCAGTAAAATAGGAGGAAAGCAAACTAAATATGTTTAAAATACAAAATGGAGAAAGACTTTACTATAGATTTGAACTCTACAATTATTTCTTCTCTGAAATTCAATATTTTCAAAATGGTCAACCAGGAGACAAGTCGGACTACCCCAGCAAGGTAAAGATGACACCGTCAACTGTCATATGTACTTGTTTGCTTCTGAAACTATTAAGAATACAACTTCCAGCTTTTATCCCATGAGGAAAATTTGCATATATAAGATTAATTTTTCTTAATTATGGAACCATACATGGTCATTGTACACATTTTGGAAACTTTTAAGAAGTATAAAGATTAAAATCATTAATTCTGATATTGACATCCTTGTGTATAACTTTTGGATCCATTTCTCTTTTCTTAGAGTAGATTCTTAGATATAGATTTGTTAGTCAAATGTTATAAACCATAATAGGAAATTTAATACGTACTATGGAAAGGCTTTTTATAAAAGGTGCTTTAATTTTATCATAAACCTTCACATCTTCACCAGCATTTTTTTATATTATTATTATTTTTTTTTTATTATTCATATGTGCATACAAGGCTTGGGTCATTTCTCCCCCCTGCCCCCACCCCCTCCCTTACCACCCACTCCGCCCCCTCCCCCTCCCCCCCCCAATACCCAGGAGAAACTATTCTGCCCTTATCTCTAATTTTGTTGAAGAGAGAGTATAAGCAATAATAGGAAGGAACAAGGGTTTTGCTGGTTGAGATAAGGATAGCTATACAGGGCATTGACTCACATTGATTTCCTGTGCGTGGGTGTTACCTTCTAGGTTAATTCTTTTTGATCTAACCTTTTCTCTAGTACCTGTTCCCCTTTTCCTATTGGCCTCAGTTGCTTTTAAGGTATCTGCTTTAGTTTCTCTGCGTTAAGGGCAACAAATGCTAGCTAATTTTTTAGGTGTCTTACCTATCCTCACCCCTCCCTTGTGTGCTCTGGCTTTTATCATGTGCTCAAAGTCCAATCCCCTTGTTGTGTTTGCCCTTGATCTAATGTCCACATATGAGGGAGAACATAACGATTTTTGGTCTTTTGGGCCAGGCTAACCTCACTCAGAATGATGTTCTCCAATTCCATCCATTTACCAGCAAATGATAACATTTCGTTCTTCTTCATGGCTGCATAAAATTCCATTGTGTATAGATACCACATTTTCTTAATCTATTTGTCAGTGGTGGGGCATCTTGGCTGTTTCCATAACTTGGCTATTTTCACCAGCATTTTTAAACCTGTTCCGCTGATAACTATCTAACAAGCCAGTTCTTTTAGAACTGGAAAGAATGGTTACTGAGCTTTTTGCGCTTTGTCTCATTCTGCCTCCACCCTACTCCATGAGGAAGGTACTAGCATTATTCAACTGACCTGAACCTCCCTTGCTTCAAGAGGTCAAGTGACTTTACAGGCCATACAACCACGACATGAATGTGAGTGAAACTACTGTTCAGATTGAGGCCACCTGTTCCTAAAGTCCATTTTCTTTCTAAACTTCCAAGGTTTTCACTGTAAAATATGCATATTTGGGGCTGGATGCATGTCTCAATGGTAGAACTGCTTAGGATGCTGAGTTCAATCCTCAGAACCCCACATGCACAGAAAAGTGTATAATATTTATATTTCATCATTGACTGTGCAGAAAGTAAGGCCTCCATCCTCACCCCTAATTTTATTTTCTAAAGTACATGTGCAGGTTTCTTAGAGAACACCTAGTACTTCTGGTGAGGGTTAATACCTTTTCTTGGGAACTCTAGTGCCTCATGCACAGCATGTATGAAATACAGGTCAGGTTTCTTCCTCCAGACTTGAAGGCTTCTCACAAATCTGTCACGTAAGCAGCCAACTCTACCCTTGACTGCTGTATAAGCACATACTAGGGGGTCATTAAATTCCTAGGGAAGGTACTTTCTGCAAAGATAGAAAATAACATCTTCCAATTCCACAGAATTGCGCAAAATCTCTGAAAAGAAGAATTATCACCTTAAAGCACCATAAATAAGTCCTGGTGCTCATATCACAGAAGAGGTTTCTTTTGAGTTTATTAGTAAGTGATCTGTCTTTTCTGCCTCAGTTCATGGGCCCGCTTGCAATTGTTGAGGGGGAAAAACCTGACTGTTGGCTGTTTTTTGTCCCAGGTGTGTGAATATCCTGATGGAACCAAGTCCTTGAAACTGGGAGACTTTGGACTGGCAACAGTGGTGGAAGGCCCCTTGTACACAGTCTGTGGCACACCAACTTACGTGGCCCCAGAAATCATTGCTGAAACTGGGTGAGACAGCTGGTGGTGTTGGTTATGGCTTCGATGTTGGTGGGAAAAGGTACATTTTTGTGGTCATTGCTGCTTGTGTGTTCAGTGCCGCCTGTGAAGGTGGAGAACAGAGGCTGAGGGGGTATAGCCTGCACCATGCCCTTGACCTTGAGTGTGTGCTTATTTGGCCAAGAGCCCTACCTAGTCCTGACCTTAGTGTTGGGAGCATGGCAGCAGCCTCTAAGATGGTGGCTTAGGTGACTTTGTCCACAGAGTAATTCATTCCTCCGCATTAAACAAACCATTTAATATCCCAAAGACCCTTTTCCTAGCAAAGGCAGTACTCCAATAACATGACTGGTTCTTAGGAGTTGTGCAACCCTTCCCTGCTTTGTTTTCCCAGCTATGGCCTGAAGGTGGACATTTGGGCAGCCGGCGTGATCACATACATACTTCTGTGTGGATTCCCACCGTTCCGAAGGTCAGTGACCGTGTTTGAATTGTAAATTCATAGACGCATTACTCTTGGCAGGAAGGTCCAAAAACGGGTTGGTCAATAAAAATGCCAACTAAAAATTATGTAAGCCCATCTTTATGTTTCATATTAATTTACAACATATTAATGTCTAGCCATCGTTCATACCTTTTTGTTGTTGTTGTTGTTTTGTTGTATCTGAGGCTTGATTGCAGGACCACGAGTGTGCTAAGCCTGACTCTGTGTTCTTGAGCTCCATTATTTGTATGAACCCCTCCTTTGTTCATTTTACAGCTATTTGCTGAGTAGCTACTAAGTTCCAGGTACTAGTCTAAGTGCTAGGAATAAGTGGTTCGGGCACGATCCTGCAAGCCACGATCAGGTTACAGTTTGTTTTACTCTGGGCTGCTGTAACAAAATGTCACAAATGGTATTGCGTAACACCAGCAGTTTAATTCTCACAGTTCTGGAGGCTGGGAACGCCAGGATGAAGGGAGCACCGTGTCCACATCTGGTGTCAGGTGAAGGCCTGCCTCCGGGTATATAGACAGCCATCCTCACGCTATGATGTCACACAGTAAAAAGGGCGAGGGACCTCTCTGGGGTCTTTGCACTGATCTCATTCATGAAGGTTCTGCCCCCAAGACCTAGTTCAGGGATTGGGTTTCAACATATGAGTTTTGAGGAGACATATCTTGTCAATGGTATGGTACCAGTTCATACACCGTTCCAAAGGTCAAGGTTTTGGTCAAGAAGTGGGAAATAGCTTATCCTTTCTCCCCCACATGTAGAAAAAGTGGAAAGCTTATCTTTTCTCATATTCTCAGTTTTCCACTTCATTTAAAAATATTTTTATTGGTAACAGCTGAAAAGCAGAGTGACAGAATTGGTATCACTCTTGAGATTCTTGTGGTTTAGATGCATTTATCAGAAGAATATTTCAAGTGTGAGGCGTGTGTGAGGCGTGTTGCAGGGTTGAAATCACAAAGGATTTAAAGAAAGATGGAGCACTGGGGGTTGACCTCATGGTAGGAGTGGATTTTCTTCTCTTCTACCTCCTCCACTTCATCTCCTTTCTTCCTTTCTTTTTTTTTTTTCCCTTGGCAGCACTAGCATTTGAACTCAGGTCCTTGCACTTACCAGGCAGTTGCTCTACCACTTGAGTCACATCCCCAGCCCCTTTTTTGCAGTAGTTATTTGCCAAGGTCGCAGAGTCCTTGACCCGAAAGGGCTCACAAAAGGAATGAGCAGACAAGACACAAATCAAGAGGACCAGAAGGCTGATGACCAAACTGGCAAATTTTTTATTTTTGCATTAGGCTTATAAGCAGTACAAAGCAGGAAGTTATGCAATGCAAGAACTTCTACACCTGGGAAACCATGCCCTCTACCTGAAAAACAATGTCCTCGCTCCAAACTCCCTGGTTTCACAAGCAAAACCCAGACCTCCCTGTTTTCACCTAGTTTCACCTGGTTTCACATACACAAAACCCGGGCCTGGTTGCTGAGGACATGTCACCTGTTCCTGACCTTTCATAAACAAATAGCTTCAGGTTAATAGTTCTTTTCTCCGTGCAAAGGGAGCCACTCCATGTCCCCTCAAAACCTCAGTGAGAGACACAGTGCACCTGCAGTCCCTGACCTTGTTAGGATCCTGCTAAGCTGCAACAACCTTGTCAGATTGCAGCTCATGGCTCCCAACGGCTATTTTTTTGGGAATGGTCTCAAGTTTTTATCCCTGATGGCTTTGGGCTGCCATCCTTCTACCTACTCCTCCTACATAGCTAGATTGCAGGTGTGAATCACTATACCCAGCCTGGTTTTTTTTTTTTTTTTTTTATTAATAAGACTTTTTTGTTGTAATAAGATACATAGAACATAAAGTTTACTGTCTTAATCTTTTTTGAGCATACAGATCGATAGTATTAAGCACACTCATACTGCTGTTCAACCATCGCCACTATCCATCTCTAGCTGGCTTTACACTATGACCCATGCCTCCTGCATAGCTGGGATTGCAGGTGTAAGCCATTGTGCTTGGCTTATTTGTGGAGATTGGATCTTGCTAACTTTTTGCCCAAGTTAGCCTGGAACTATGATTCTCCTAGTCTCCACCTCCTGAGTAGCTGGGACTCCAGGGGACCAATCCAACCCACCCAGCCCCACAAGTGGAGTTTTTACAAGTGGAGAGCTCTTTCCATCGGGCTGTGGTAGTCACAACCTCCCATCTTGGTGGGTTATGCAGACTGCTGGATTATGCAGCTTCTGTGGAATAATAAGTCACTCTGAAAGTCAGGGGTGTAAAGAATTCTTTGGACTGATTAGGAGTTTCTTCTGGGCTGGCTCAGTGGGGCTTGGTGACTTGGTGTGACTTTGCTCATGTATCCAATTGTTGGCTCTTTGTCTACTGGGAAAACAGAGATGGCTTGGCCATGTGCGTTTTCCTCATCCGTGGATTTTCCTAGACTTCACATGATGGTGATGTGGAGTTTCCAAAAGCAGCCCAGTCACTGCCCTGGCTGGTTTTGGTGATGGCCTGTTGGGGAACTAGCCAAATGTAGAAGAGTCATATGGGGCCAGTTTGATGGAGTTCCCCTCCAAGGCTAACCCAAGTTGGAATTGGTGGGGTGGGGTGTGGGGAGGGGGGTGCGAGGAATATGTGAGGATCAGGGTTAGGGGATGTGTGCTCACAGCGCCCTCTAGTGTTTCTAGTTACAGGTGCGGCTGGGAGAGCTTTTTTTATTTGGTGGGATTTCTGTTGGTTTGGTTTGATGGGGTGTTTTTTGTTGTTGTTTTTCAGGCTTTTTAACAAAAGTGAAGCTAGGGTTGAACATTGTGTATTTATTATGGATTGTTATTCAGTAGGCAGAAGCTTCTTTGGGAGTCTGGAGGAGTTGATTGATCAAAAGCAGTACATCTACAATCTGAACGTGTTGCCCTTGTGTCAGCAGCAGGTCCTAAAGCTCCAGCTAGCTTATTTGTAATGCCTTCCCTCTTCCTTATCATCTCGTGTTGCAAGAGTCTGTGACCTTAAACACTAGAGAGGCATCTTCACAAAGAGACATCCTGGGTAGACTTACAACCTATGATAACATAAAAATGTGTATGGAAAATGATAAGGTAATGATAAATGATTATGGTATAGAATAGATTATTTACATAAATTTTTACCTAAAGCAAAAATTCTTTAATCAAATGCTTCAAAAGATTTTCTCTGCTTTATACAAAAGATGACTTTAACCCAAAGCTTTTGAATTAAAGTTGTTACTTAGAAATTATAGTTTTAGACTAATTATAATGTCTCATTCCTTCTTCTTTCAGGGTTTTTGGGTTTCAGTCCTTGCTTGGTGTTTGTTCTCTCTTCATGTTTTTTTTTCAACATCAGATTCATCTTTACTAAAAAGATTGTTTTTTTAAGAGAGTCCCCAAATTCTGGTTGATACCTAGGCAAGCCTGTTTTTAGGGCTTCTGATGGAAGGTTTAGGACTTTACTGAGGTTCTTGATGTTGCCGTTCTTGTTAAGACACACACACACACACACACACACAAAGTAAAACTTGAACAGCACTTGTGAAATAGCTTAAGGCATTGTCAGGCTGCCTTTTCTGTTCAGAAAACAGCCTGTCATTGAAAGAGAATCTGCTGCCCAGACTCCCTTGTCATTTTGGGGTTTCTCTTAAGGGACTGTTTTAGACTTATAACACCTTGGTCTAAGGGTTACATTGCTTTAGAATAGAAAGGTTCCCTGAAACATCTCAGCCAGATGTTTAACTGTGACAATAAATCCCGTGTGGATTCAGAGTGGCTTTTCTCGTATGACTATCAAAAAGGATAAATTATTCTTTGTTTTCTCTTCTTCTAGTAGGTGCCACAGTTCTGGCAGTTCACAGCATTGATCCTTGGGGTTCTGTTCTAATTGCTGAGCCTCCCAGGGTCTCATTTGTTGACTGTAAATGACTGCTGCACACAGACTTGGGCATTTAGCTATTTATTGACCAGATGAAACTATATGAATTAACAAAATATAAGATGTTTATGATTCCAGAAAAAATAATGGGAATATGAGTGTAGAAATAGAGAGGGATGACTAAAGGAGCAATTCTGAATATGGGTATTTTTTAAATACCTTCTTCTAACATTCTCTGTTGTCCTCTGCTTTTCTAAAAGTTTCTGTAAAATTACATTGAGTTCTTAAGTGTGTTCTTCACTCATTTTGAAGGAGCGTTGAGCTAAGTTCAATCAGCAAGGATACATCAGTGAAAAGGCTTTGCCCCCTAAAAAGAAATTTGTGCTCACTCAAAGAAAATCACTTTCCAAGCAAGCTGCAGGGATCCCTTGCCTAGCCTGCTTGTCCAGCCTGACTCTTGCTTCTTATGGTGCCTTTGGCCTTCTGTGTGGATCTGCAGATGTTCACTCAGCTGGTCTTGTCACAGATACTCACACCACCACAGACTCCTCTTTCTAATACAAATGAAGTGGCTAGCAGCTGTATACTCACACAGCCCTAGAATTTGACATTAGACACTATAAAGGATAAATTTCTGGGGACACCACACTTGTCTTTGTCACCTTTTGGGCAGGTGGGCAGCAAAACTGAAGGCTGGGTAGAGAAATTCGAAGAAATGTTGCACATTTGCCAGGTAACACCTAACTTCCACGTGTGGATTTTGATCTTAATCCCAACAGCCCATTTTGACTTTTCTATAGAGGCCTTGTCATGGCCCTAGAAAGTTAAAGACTTGTTCCTCACGTATGGCTGTCCATGTACTCAAGTGCAGGGGCTTTGTAGCAGTGGTTTTTATGGGAGGTTGGAGGCATCCAACATCCTCAATTTTTAAGTATACAGTTCAGTGCCATTATGTTCATTCTCATTGTTGCCATTCGTCTCTAGAATTTTTTCATCTTCCAAAGCTGAAACTCTGCAAATTTCTTGAGTCATATTCTTTCCTTCTCTTGCTCTATCCCTCTTTCCTTCTCCTTCTCCCTCTTCCTGTCTCTTCTCTCCAATTCCCAGGACTATGGAAATGTTCTTTGGCACATTGTCTAAAAGGAAAAAAATTGTCATCACAAGTATAGTTGTGATGCACTGAAATGGTTGAGCCAATGACTTTGACTCTTCTCATTCTTCCCATGAGCATTTGGTTGACAAGCTGTATGATGACTTTGATTTTCTTCCATGTCTTTGTCAATAACATAGTGAGAACAATCTCCAGGAAGATCTCTTCGACCAGATCTTGGCTGGGAAGCTGGAGTTTCCAGCCCCCTATTGGGATAACATCACTGACTCTGCCAAGGTAACTGTCTAAGCCTGTTACTGTAGGTTATGTTACATTTTGGGGTCCTGGGGCTGTAGCAGCTTATGGTATTAAGCTCCAGGAACTTGGCTTTTAATATATGGTCCTTTTTTAAGTTCATGCCATGGTGTAGTCTCTGAAGTTCTTAACCAAATTCTGAACGCTAGACTAGCTGTCTTCCTATAATCTCTAAGCATTCATTCTTTTATTTATTTAAGAAATATGCATTGAGCCTTGATCATAGTAATAGAGTGAATTTATGACACATACCAAATTGCCAAAAGGAAAAGTATGACATTGTACTGTGGAGTGATGGTAGTGACCTAGAAGTCTTAGGGCTCTCATAGACTCAGGAGAGACCTCTTCTCTTACACTGCTGCTCACGCAAGGCCACCCTGGGAGTGTGGGTGAAACTAGCTTTCACGCTCCAATGGCAGAACAGTCTTGTTGGCTATTCTTTGAAGTGCTTGGAGAAAACTCAAATTTCTATGTTTATGCGGAATTTTCCACTTTCTCCTTCTCTATGGTCTTCTTTCTTTCTTTCTTTTTAGGAACTAATCAGTCAAATGCTTCAGGTAAATGTTGAAGCTCGGTGTACCGCGGGACAAATCCTGAACCACCCCTGGGTGTCAGTAAGTACCACATTCCCAGGGAATGGACACCTGTGTATCTGTGGCCAGCAGCGTGCCTCCTTGCTGTGTGTTCTGCACACGCAAGGCTTGTGTTCAAGTTCATGGCAGACAGAATGTCGGTCTTTCCTAATAACAAGTAGCATGACAAGAGCTCTCTGGGAGGAGGCAGCAGACATCAGGGCCCAGAGTCTTCCATCCTGCTCTGTGAGTAACCTGGGTCTCAGTTTCCTCATGTGCAAAAGCAAAGGGTTTTGCCATATGCTCTTTAAGGAGCCTTCTGAAGCTCTGGATTTGAGAGTTTTGGGGAATTGTCCCAGAGATGAGCATCTTTCAGACTGTGCTCTCTCTATTCTCGTGGCACACAGTCCCAGGAGACCTTCTGCACAAGAAAGTGGAGACACAGTCCCTTCTAGAGGCAGCAGAGAGGTGTGGTGGTGACACCTCTGGGCTTAGGGAAATACAGTAACCCAAATGGTGACTGTGGGGAGCTTGTTCTCCCTCATTCCAGGAGTCTCCAGAAGAGGAGTTTACTTACTTTAGCCAAGGGCTTTTGTCACTCAGGGCTCTCTGTGCATCTCCACTAGCCAGCTCACTGTTTCCTGGACTAAATGACTTAGCTCTTGAACCAACTAGCTGAGATGCCAGATCTTTTTGTGAGTAATAAACAGTAACAACTAAATGAATTCATTTTCCTTTTTTTGTTTTGGTGCTGGAAATTGAACCCTGGCCCTCACAGCCCTCACTTGTGCAGTGCCTGTTCTCCCTAACCCTGAGCTACATCCCCAGCCTCCCTTGCTTTTTTTATTTTAACTTAAAAGATGGGGGTCTTACTATAATGCCTAGCCTAGCCTCGAACTTCTGGCTCATCAGATACTATATGCCTGCCTCAGCCTCTTGAGTAGCTGGGACTATAGGTGTGTAACAGGCATGAATTCTTGATTAAAATCAAGCACTGTTAATGAATTTTTATGTTTTCCTGGGAGTGATCATGCTAAACTATGTGCCTTGGTAGAAGACCTCAGAAGCCTAAATAATGTGCTCCTTTGTGCCATCGAGGCTTGTGCTCTCTCCTTGGCCTCCTCTAGTTCTGGGAAGTGGAGTGAATGGTACGGGCTCTTTTGGGGGCATGGCACTGCTGGATAAGCACATGTGTGTGTGTTGCTGAGGTTCTAACCCAGGCCTTCATTTATGTTAGGTAAGTGCTGTACCACTGAGCCACTCCCCAGAACCAACAATTACTTTTGAGAGATCATTATTCCCGTAATCCTGAGGCCAAGTTGGGCCTATTTAGAAAGAGGTCAGAAGGTTGATGGTGGTGATAACTGTTAAAGAAAAATGCGAGGATCAAAAATCACTGTGTTGGATTCTTCTCTCTTCTGTAGGATGAAGCCTCCCAGGAGAATAATATGCAAGCTGAGGTCACAGGTAAACTAAAACAGCACTTTAATAATGCGCTCCCTAAACAGAACAGCACTACCACCGGGGTGTCTGTTATCATGGTAAGTGGGGCATGGAGTTCTGCCCTGGAGAGCTGCAGCATCTGGCCTGGTTGGTGGGCCAGCATTGTCTGAGGTAGATAGCCAAAGGCAGCTGTCACATGGAAGTCATGGCCTTCCATGTTCCTGTTTGCCCGGGAAGATTGGCTGGCACAAAGGGCGTTCTTCAGCCCGCTTTGTGCACCACAGGTCTGGGGCTGCACAGGTACCAGTAATGTCACTCTAGTGGGTGGGTGCCAGGAGTTTGTGGGCTCAGGGACCTCCCAGATAGCTGCCTCCACTCTCCCTGCTGCCACACCTAGTGTGAGATCGGGAAATAACTTCCTGTCCACTCCAGGCTGCAAACAGACTATTTGAGGCATGAATTTTTCTTTGGCATGTGGGATGAGATGAGAAGTAGCCAAAGTTGAACTTCTTTTTCTTTTTGAGATATGGTCTCAAATGGCCTTGAATTCGCAATCCTCCTGCCTCAGCCTCCCAAGTGCTAGCATTAAAACTGTGTCCCACCATGCCTGGAACAAATTTAATTTTTTAACAGTCAGTGTTTGGTAAAAAGAGTATTTAGGGAGGTTTGAAAGTATACAAGAATATTTTTTAAAATATCATTTTTTTTTCCTGCTGGAGGTGTGGTCTGCCTAGCAAGCATGAGTCCTGAGTTCAAACTCCAGTACCATCAAAATATATTTTCAGGGTTAGAAAAAAGTCAGTAACAATGATCATATTCTTCCAGATTTTTCTTCTTCTAAAATGTTTTTAAGGTAGCTTATTTAAATATATAGGCACAACAAATGAAAATGAAGAGTAACATTAAAGTAAGGAAAGCCAAAAGAAAGTAAGACAAAATAAAAGAACACAAAAATAAAGTTGAGCCAGAAGTGAGGTTAATATGCCCAATTCCAGCTGTGCAGGTCTGAGCCCTTGCAAAATTGGACTAGGAAGCCAGAAGTGAGGGTCTCCTACCAGCTCAACAGCAACCTCTGTCTTCCCGCCTCATCCCAGAATCAGGGAGCAGGCATGGGGCTGCCTTCCTCAGAGTCAGGGTTGGCAGGGCTTTGGAATCAGACCCTCTAAGGGCAAGCGCCTCAGATTGCAGCACCTCAGTCCCTCCTGATAGCTGGTGGTGAGCTGTCTCCAGAGCTCCAACCTCTAGACTGGCCTCCCACCCTCTGGGAACAGGTCTGTTTGTCTCCTACCCTAGTAGAGGGAATACTGGATTATTCTTATGGCCCCTTGTATTCTAGGAACTCTAGAAAGATGGGTCCACAAAGAAGCTGGAAGGAAACCACTACAAACCTGCACACACACACACACACACACAAACACACAAACACGATCCTTATGAATATGAAATGTTGTTGAACACCTGTCACATTCCTGGCACCTGCTGGTCTGTCATCCTGTCCTTTCCCCCAGGGAGACTAAGTTTATTTGGCAAATACTGAATGTCCTTACAACTCCCCCTGCCAGGAAGTGTGCTCCCCCCTTCCTCTCCAGACAAAGCATGGATTTGCAAACTGGGCCTTGTGACACCTTACAGGAGCTCAGGGTACTCATGCCAAAAACATGGGTGGGGGTGCTCTTGAGCTGTGGCTTTTCCAAGCCAGTTGGGCAGTGTTTTGCTGAAAGCCAGGGAAAATCTGAGTTGTCACAGGAGTACAGCTTAAGCACTTTGAGAAGAACCATCTTGGCTAAGCCAACAGCACAAGGACGTTTTCCAGTGACTCCCTTTAAGAGCTAGCCATGACGGGGGAGGTGGGTAGCATGCAGTTTCACTTTGCGCCATGTTACACAACTGCTTCTGGGAAACTGTAGAAGGGTAGAAACAGTAAGAACTGCCATACTTAGCTGGGGTGTAGCTCAGCCTCAGAGCACGTGGCTAGCATGCATTAAGGGTTCCTTAGCACTAAAAAAAAGTCCTACTCAGCATGTAAGGAAAAACCTTAAGAAGAGAGATTTGTTGAACTCAAAATTTAATAACTGGATGTTAATATGCCACATAGTCTTCTAAGAGGAAGCTTTACAGCCCAGGGAATGCACTCAGTGAGTCATTTGCCTGGGTCATCTTTCAATGCCGGGGCCCAGATGAGAAGCTGTGGCACAGGCCTGTCCCAGCCTCTACCACCGCTGACTCTCAGCTGAGTGTTTTGAATGATTGGCTGTCTTACCTTACAGCCTAGTGGAGGCCCCTCACCCACACTCACATTGTGAGGCTTACAAATGCATTATCCCCTTTGCTGATGAAGTTCAAAGGTCAAGGGTCATACCCCTGAGTTGTAACCAGATGTTTGTGTGGATGGACAAGCCTTTGTTATTTGTAATTCCAGTGGCAATGGTGAAGGTGTGTTGGTGTGTGTGTTAAGTGGCCATTGCCTACATACTGACAGGGCCCTGTCTAATCCCGGGTCCCCTACACAACTCTGCAGGTTGTCAGTGCCAAGTGGCACAATCACACTCAGAACCTGCCAGAGAAATCCATAAAGCTGGTCTCTGGCAGCACCTCATCTCCGTGGCCCAAAAGCCAGCTTGGGAATTTTGGCTTGTCCCCAGAATTGATAGGGGATATGTGACACTTCTGTGCCCTCATCCTCCACCATGACTGTCCCATTCTTGAGGACAGTTTTAAACACTTTTTTGTACTAGAAATAACCACAGAATTAATTCCTCCCTGGCATGCATTCATTCTTGTTCCTGAGTACAGAGCTAATATGGCTTCTTGCAGATACAAATGAGGGTAGAAATAGGGTGTAAGTGTTCTGTGGTTGAATTATTAGGCCACTGTTGTGTGATTTACAGATGCGACCTTTGTTTCCTGTCACCCCACTGTGCTCTCCACCCCCTACCCTCAAGTTGGTGCCTGAGGCGCCAGTGAGAAAATTGTAGGGCAGGAATTGGGAAATAAAGACGGGAGAAAGGAAAGTTGATGCTATTGTCTGCATTTTATTTGGCAGTTTGATTTGACAGTTTGAGAGACACCTCAGAGTTTCCTTCTTTACCCAGTGACACTATGGGAAACCCCGAAGCAGATCCGGGTACTTGATGCACTGTGTTTTAATGGAGCAACTCCTGGTTCTTAGCCCCCTCCTAAATCTGCATGCTTGTCTCAGATCCCCATTCGCCATGCAGCTCTTAGCTTCCTGTTCCTGTTGGCGGGCACGGGCCCTCTGTACCTGCTGACATCTTTCTGGCCAGCCCAGCACACTTTGGAGAACTTCATTAAAACTCCTCTGCTGCCCACGCTGCCTTCCTTGGCCAAAAGCTGGGCGGGTGCAAAAAACAGGATTCCAGTAACTCTGCTAATGGTGAAAAGGTGTCCTTTTGTAACTGACAGGAGCAGACAGGTATCTTTGCCAGGGTTTTGTTCTCTTACTGCACCTACAGTTCCCAAGCTGAATTTTTACCAATAGGATAGGGCAATGTCAGCCAGCCTGCAGGATAAGAAAGCGGTTGTTTTGGGTAAGGCTTGATTTCAGAGAGGCCTAGGGTTTGGGATCACACTTCCGTTTTCTCTGACCCCTTAGCATGCATCTGCGGGATGGGACGGCTGCTTTGTTTGTCCCAGTGGGCCTGTCCCAGCCTCAGAGACCAGCAGAGGCCATCTTGTGGCAGAGGAGGGAATGATAAGACCCCACTTACTGCTTCCCACATCCTGGGGGGAGAAAGGCCACAGTCCCTCGAGTGCCTTCTCTCCTGGGCTCTGCTTCCTTTGAGGGCAGCTGGGGAATGATTTAGACTTGTCCCCTTAATTTAAGACAGACAGTTTCAGTCGTGCTGCTTCTGTTGAAAGTAAGTCTGGTTTCTGTCCCTGCTTCTCTCCCCTCTCGCCTTTCCCGCCGCCTGCATTGCTTCCCCTGACTAGGTCCATGGCGATGGTACGTACTAACCGCCCGCCCCGCTTCCTCTGCGCACGCCCTCCTCCACGAGGAAGAGAACAGGAGAAATGGCCGGCTGGGGCCCTCTGCCCGGCAGAATAAGGGGGCTGCCGCTCTGCTCGCTGGTGGTGGGGCTGTTTCACTGGGGGTCTGGCGGCCTCTGATGGTGGGGGTTGGGAGCAAGTTCCCAACAGGGCTTTCCCAGGTAACTGCCACTGTCCTACAGGATCATGGGATGTTCACTTGTACGTGGCAGGACAGGTGGAGACACCCTGAAGGCAGCCAGCCACCTACATGTCCCTAGTGCTCTTTACTCTTATTTTCCCAGACCTTTTTTGGTCAGCGTTAAAAGTAGCAGTGGTTAGATTGCCTACTACCTCCTGATCACTGTCCCTTGCAGCTAAAGGTGCACCTGCAACCTCTCTCACATTTGGACAGGCCAGTGAGATGGCAGCTTGTTGGCTGTCACTGGACATACCAGTAAGACTCCGGTAAAGACAACAGGAGTCTGGGTCTTCTTCCCTGATAGGTCGGAAAGCAAGGTGATGTCCTTGTGTTTTTGTGGCTACTCTACTGCCACAAAGTTTGACGGGCGGGGGTGCGTGTGAGACCCTCACAGGGAGAGAGCAGGCCAGGAGACCACGAGGGATCCAAACAATGACTGCCATTGCTACATTTGGCTCCTGGGCCTTCACAGGTGACACGGCCACTTGGTTTGTAAGGGCATTTTTTATTTATAGGACACAGGAATAATTTTTCCCGCTAACAAGAACTTCCTTTAGACAAAGACTAAAGGAAGACTGACTGCCCCGGGGGTCTGCTGAGTGAGGTCCAGGTGTGAGAAGGGCACTCAGCTCAGACGTACCTCACAGCAGAGAGGACTCCTCAGGCCACTACGCGGTACCCAGCTGACACCACAGCAGTGTTTTTCTTGGGCCACCTAGGTGGCAGAAGGAGGGGGCAGCTGGCCCTCGGGGGTGGAGAGGGAAGGTGCCCCGAGCATGGCTTTTCCTTTAGACTTCTGGTAGAGAGGCCTGACGTTATTTCTCCTCTTCTGTTCCCCGTCCCGTGCATGCTCTGTGGTACTTTCTGTCGTGGGAACCAGCCCAGGCTGGGATGACACATGTCTCTGCTGCTCTCTCCTCAGAACACAGCTCTAGATAAGGAGGGGCAGATCTTCTGCAGCAAGCACGTTCAAGACAGCAGCAGACCTGCCACCGAGCAGATGTCGCCAGCTCCTCCCTCAGCTGAGGAGCCCCCTGCTGCCCCCCGGGAATCCCCCACGCCTCCCTGTCCTCCTGCCACCATGGGCGGTGAGCGGGCAGGGACTTGGCGCCGCCACCGAGACTGACCCTCTGCAGACAGACCAAGAGAAGGCCACCATTATGGCAGCCTCATTGTCCCCTCACTGGAAGAGCCTTTCCTCTCCTGACTGCCTGTCGTCAGTTTGCTGGCACTTTCCACGGCCCCCCTGGCCACAGTGACCCATGGGCCTGCAGCCAGCTTTGCGCTGTGCCCTCCAGCTCCTGGTGGTGTCACCTGCAGCATCCACCTTGGTGACATATTCAGAGTGACTGTTTTTAAGTCATCCCTGTTTCAGTTCAGTGGACACTGCACTGCTTCACCCAGAAATGGGCAACTTTTATCCAGCGTTAAATGATTTTATAGAAACAGCGGATGAGCGAAGACTCTCCTTTATCTATGGCTCCTTCTTCTCACAAAGGAGACGGAAACTGTGTTTGTCCCTTCATGACTGTCCTCTGAGAGGTGACACGATGCCTTCCTTTGCTCAGCGGGCTGTGGGACTTGGCTTCCTGGGCTGAAATGAGCACCCGGAGGATGGGCTGGTGGTGGCCTCTGATTCCAGGCTCTGGGAGGTGCTCTCAGGTGCCCAGCACAGCCAGGCCTTCGGCTCAGGTGCTGGGCTCACCTGGACAACGGGGGTGTTTATTTGTACACGGGCACAGGCGGCCACTTCTTCTCCCACTTTCCCTCATGTATATTAGGAAACGCTGACGAAGTTGCCGGTAGGTTTTTAACAGCAGGCTCGGCCTTGGTAAGCAGATGCTAGCAGGGCAGGTGTCCTGAGCAGCCACGAGGGTCCCCTTCATCCTCAGCTTTTCTGCAGGAGATGCCAGAAACCACAGCCAGGGGACCTGCTGAGGCCCAGCCCAGACAAGGCGGAAGGTGCTCCTTGGACACCCCAATTCTAACCTTCTGGAAGGCTGCTGGCAGTTTTTCCTTTTTCCACCTTCCTCTTTTTAATAATTGTACATAATCCGTGTATTTGTTTTACCTGCTCATCTTCTGAACTGTTGGGCCCTGTAGTTCATTCTCTGTTAGATTTTTGCCTTCTACAAGTGTCCCCAACCTGCAATAAACTCTTCCTCTTCAGAAAAGCCTTGCGGTTAGGCAGAAGTTTCTGTGTGATTGTTTTGCCAAGGCCATATGATCAGAGAACCCCTGATCTGTGGCTCCCAGCCCCATAGGTGCCGGTACCTGGGGCCCCAGGGGACCGAGAAGCTGGCTGGAGTTTGTGTGATCACAGGTGTGGTCACAGGTACCAGGACTCGGGTGACAAACAGGTTCCCAACAGAGCTTAGGATCCAGCAGCAGGAAAGTCAGGGTCAGGGTAGCCGAGCCTGTCCATCTGTCTGTGTGCTCATCCTCCTCAGAGGTTGTTTTCAGAGCCACCCAGGCTGCAGATTCCCCTACAAAGCTCCTGGTTTCCATTCTCTCATGTTTGCTTGCCTGTGGCTCATGTCACCCCGTTACTGCCTTTCTCCCTGTCTCCTCGAGGCTTTTCAACTCTATCTGACCTGGCTGTGGGTCTCTGTTCAAATTGATGATGAGACGAACAGGTGGGCCAGGAGACCCTGATGTGGTCCCCAGGTAAGTCAAAGTGTAGTGGGCAGTTCAAAAAAAAGATCCAGGCCTAGAACATTCTGCCTGCTCCCCACCCCCCTCCCCAACCCACTGAGCAGTTAAAGAGCAGGCTTCCCATAGGTTGCCATGGGAGTGTATTTGTTCACAGAGAGAAAAAGCTAATGTAAAGGAAGAGGGAGGAAAATGAAAATGGTGAGGAAACGGCCCCTGCCACTGACCAGGGCCTGAAACCTGCCCTCCTCCTCTGAGCTGCAAGGCTCACAGACAGGTGCTAAAGACCTCATGTCTAAGCACATCCGAAGTGTTACTCCAACACGTAGTCAACATCAAACAAACACTGCTGTTTTACCTTCCTCTGTACCAAGGCTTTGAACTGGAGCCCCTTCATTTATGGCACATCTTGGTCTGGACTTGGTGCGTGTCGAGTGCGTAGAACCCATGTGGGCCTAGCGGCTGCCATGACACCCGCTACAGCACCACAGCCAGGCCACGGCTCATAGGCCCAGTCTTAGGCTTTTTGTTTTCTTTGCCTGTGATGTGAGTGACGAAATGACATTTTAAATGCAATGGACTCATAAAATGATCTCAGCAGGTTAGAACGCTGCTCCAGACCCATGGAGTGAAACCAAAGTGTGAAGTCCCAATTCTGTTACGTAGCTGCTGAGGCTTTGACCTGCAACATTGCTTCGCGTGAGAGGTCTGGGAGAGAAGTGTGGTGGTCACCCATTTATCAGGAACCAGCAGCCACTTAACTGGTAGTCATTTCAACTGCATCTGAGGAGCCTGTGCAGGTGGTGGCAGCAGGGCTTGGACCTGTGTATGACCTTGGCACAGTGGTGCAGATGAGAAAATGATTTCCCAAAAGAGACAGTGGAGTAGTGGGGGGCTGAGCCCTGGTGGCCAAGGATTGGTGGGAAAAACTGTAAGGTATTAGAGAAAACTCGAGGCACCTCGCTCAGTGTCTCTGTGTAAACCATTGTGTGGAGGGGCACAGACTTGCTTTGATTTTCCTGGACGGTCAGCCCAAGGTCAGCAGGTGGGAGGTGAGAAGGGGCGGATTGGAGAGCAGGGTTGAAGTCGGATTCCAACAGCAGAGCTGCTTTCTGAAGGAGTCAGAGTCTAGTTCCTGCAAACGCCTGATGCTAATGATCACAAAAGTACACAGTGTATGGAATTTGTCATCCTGTCTCCCTGAGCCACACCACAGCCCCAGGATGCTTGCTGATGTCCCCATTTGATAAGCAAGGATGGTCAGTTTAGTAAGGGACTCAGCTAGCCATGCTGGAGCCAGGACTGACAGCTTCTGGCTCCCGAGACAGGTGTCCCTACAACCAGGCCACCCCTCTGGGTACTAAGAGATGCATTTCAAGGGGACAGTGAGTCGTGAGGTAGATGTGGGTGGTAGAAAACCCAAGAGGCTGAGACACCATCAGAAGCTTGTGCTTAAAGTTGGTGTCCTGTGGTCACTCATAGTGAAGAAAGCCAGCAGTTTCTCTGGAGGGGGTTTGGAATGCACCTTTGCTTAGTCTGGGCCTGCATTCTTACGTGGCTGTCTTATGATAAAGTCCAGAGTCCTGACCTCACAGACAGCTGTGGGAAGGCCTTGCCAGCAGAGCTTGGCTGTGGGGAAGAAGCCATTCGCTGCCCTCCTCATGCCCCTTCTCAAACACACAGCCCTCATTTTGGGCAGAGCTGGGCCCCGGGGCCTCCAGTGTGCTTAGGATGAGGGGCTGGAGAGTCACGAGGCCTGGTTGGCCACCTGTCAGTGCTGAGGCTGAAGCTGGGGCTGGGAAACATCTTTCAAATGATCCAAGTAAAAAAGCTGCAAAGCAGCCAGCTTCTTCCTGCCAGGTCTGAGGAAATCACAGTCCTCCCAACTCCCCAGAAGCTTGGTGTGGGCAAGGAAAACTATTCCTGAACTTAAGACAGAAAATAATTCACTTCGTGTTGCTGGCGTCCGATTGCAGAGGCCTTGGAATTCACAGGGCCAGAGAAGCTGGGCTTCTCTGCCTGACAGGAGAGGCCCTGCCTGACAGCCAAACCCTGCGCTCAGTTAGAGAAAAGTACTAGCCTTGGTCTGTTTCTGGTTCATGGCAGCCAGGGCCAGAAGTGACGCATCAGTGTGCTTAATGGTAAGCCAGGCATGATGGCACATGCAGGTAGTCTCAGCCACTTGAAAAACTGAGGCAGGAGGATTGCTTGAGACTTGGAGTTGGAGGCCAGTCTGGACAACATAGCAAGACCTCGTCTCCAGAAAAGAAAAGTAGACTTCCCCCATTTATCTGACAAGAAATAGAACTTTAAAAAGTTTTGCTATTTTATTTATCTAGTATTTTTGGTCTTTACAATGTTTTAAATGTCTTGAATGTCCTAGCTTCCCACCTCCCCTGCAACAATAATTTAGGACGCCTGTAGGATCAGATTTTATGCTGACGGGGGGGGGGGTGTGGTGGGGAGAAGGGGGAGGACCCATGGGCGGTCGCTCTCCTGGTTGAAGCAGAAAACTATTTCCATTTGCTGTGATCGAGCAGACACAGCCAATTGGAGGAACTGGTGCATTTGCCCATTTTATGGCTCGTGGACTTTGAGGTTTGGGTCTTGTTTCTTTCTGTGACTGTGCATGTGCTATGGCCTAACGAAGCTTCACGTGAGGCCGTGGGGTGGGCCTCCCTAGGATTCACACCTTCCCCAGCTCGGCAGTGGGTTTCTCCCATCTGCCTGAAGGAAGCACAGTCTCCCAGAGGAGGGGTCAAGACCTTGTCCCTGATGGCTGTGTAGTGGAAGTCTCAACCCCAGCCTCCTTTCTTGCGGGGTCTAACTGCTGCAAGCCGCTTTGATTCTGCTACATTTGCTGGAAAAGGCAGAGTGGGTGCTGTCTGGCTGCATCTCAGGATCCCTGCCCATTTCCTGTAGGCCTGACTTGCACACCCATCACCTCACTGCTCCTGATGGCGAGGGAGGACAGTGGCAGCAGGTGCGTGTGGCCAGGCCCCCAACCCTTTGGCAGTGGAGAAGGCACCTTGGCTGTCAGTCACAAACTTCATGGCTCACAGCCTCTAGTGGTTGGTCCCAGGTCGGGTATTTTGAATCTTCCTGTTTGTTTGCTAAGTAGATCTGAAGTGTGGTGGTTCCTCAATTGGCAAAATAGGTCTTCTTTTGTGTTGAATTAACTTATAAAGCATTGATTTCTGGGGATTTGGTGTACGCAATGCTCATGAGTGAGCAGTCCGCATCAATGCATTTCAAAATGATTTTCTGGTCGTTATCTTCTAAGCCCACCTGCCTTCTCCAGAGATCTAGTGTAGTTCCTAAAAATACAACTAGAAAAGACATAATTGGTCACATTTTCAGTAAAAACTGATATGCCAGAGATGAACACCCTTCATTTCTCAAGGCCATGCATTTCAAACCCAGGCTTAAATTACTGTGTAGAAACCAGCCCAGCCGGCAGATTCCAACGCTGTTGAGGTTCGTTCAGCTCATCCCCCAACCGCCTCTACTGTGACACTTTCTCCTCATTGGGTTACAGTTTTTAAGGAGTTGAAATTGGATAAAATAAGTAATTGCTGAATAAACTTTATGGAATATTGTCTGCAGAAATCAAGTAATCCTTGTGTGATGCCAGCTATATTCTTTGTGGAGTACTTCTCTTATGAAGTATTACTTATGTTCAGTTAATTTTCCATAAGAAGTTGTAAGCTCTTAAAAACAATGAAGGCAGCAGAGACATGGTTATTTTTAAGTCTTCAAGAGGCAGCAGCTTTGCTCTAGGCTTAGGAAAAAGGCAGGGTACATCTGGTGTGTGACTTAGGTACCTCGGATTTTCTTCTCCCATTTTTCTCCCTGTATCTCTGAAATATAATATCCCTAAGTTCAATGCCAGTAAGGAGTAGCTAGCCAGGTAACACAGCAGTAGCTTGAGTGTGCCTATCATTTTAAGATGTCCTTTTCTTCCCGCACATCTTTACCACCTACTGTTTTTCTTCTTAATGGTTTGTAAAATAATGTTGCTGGGTCTTAGGTGAAACGACAGAGTCCCCTGTTTGGTCCGGTACAAGATTTGTGGACATCCCAGTGAGAGCTCTGGTTGGCGTGATTGGTTTTCATCAGGAGAGCCTCTCCCTCTTGCTCACTGGTTATTGATCAAAAACTGACCAACAGTGTGGTGTCTTCTTTGTGAATAACTTTTATTCATGTTTAAAAATGAGGAGTGCAAAAGATATTTCCAACAATTCAATTACAAATTCCATTTTGTTCAGTTTTTCTGTCAAACTAAATTGTTTATTCTAAATCTTTGCTTTTAGAAAATACGTGAATGTGGTTGTTGGGGGGACTGGGGGCAGAGAGATCCCATTCAGGCAAGCTGCACAGGAATGAACAATCTGTTTCAACTGAAAGTTCACAACATACAAAGAATTTATTTATGTACTACAGACCTTTCTCAAATATGTTCACAGAATGCCATACAGCACTCTACTAGAAAAGTAGAATTATACATCACCAAAATAACATTGTTTCTTAGTACAAATTAATCAAAAGGAAGGTGGAGATGTTTTAATAACAGAAGGCAGGATGGGTGTTGCTCATCCAGCACCTGGTGCCTCTGTTCTCTGACCCAGGACAGGGGAGAGGCCCCCGCACAAGCTGTGTCTCGGGGCAGGGAAGGGCACAGGTGAACCTCCAGTGAGCTTTGGTACCTGCATTTACTTTCAAAGAAAAACAGACCATGAGCCCAAGGTCATTTCCATCATTTCACTTTGTGCTGTGAGGAAGACAGATCAGGAAAAACAGCAACTATGTCACACTTGTCATAATCAGATCCTTTATGTATTGCACACACACAACATAGTGTCCCCAAACCATAATTTTCTAGTCTAAAACATGCGTGGAGGATAACATCATAGAAATTGTTCATTCAGATGTTTTAAATTACATTTACCATAATTTAAACACTACAAATTTCCGCACTGAAGAAGCACAAATGTATGAAAAAATACAGGCCCCAAAGTATAGCATAAAATTCCCATCCCAGCATTCCACATAACACCTGCTCCAGACTGTAACCCATTTTCCTGCAGTTAAAATCACACATCTCTCAAGAGTGCAGATAAACAGGAAATGGTTTCTCCTAAGATAGCTAGAAGAAGCTGGATGTGCCTCACTGTGGGTTTCCATAATTGGTGAAAAATAGACTTCTCATTATGACTAAAAATATAGATTTTTTTTAAAACTACAGAACCCAGCAGCCAGATTTCTGCTTTGCTATTTATTCTCCCCCAAAAGTCAAGCAAAATCTACAAAAATAGCAATTAAACTTTAAAAAATATTTTGCTTGTTGAAGCGAATTTAAGTTACATTCAGATGTGACAGTTATTTCTATAAGAATGATGGCAGGGTCCTTCCCTGCCCAGCCCACGGCAGGGCCAAGTTGCAGCCGTCACCATCAGTATCGGGTTTGGTACTCGTGATGCCATCGGTTAAAGTCATTGTAAAACAGGACGATGCTTCCTGAAGCCATGCCAGAAATAACGCACCTGGGAGAAGCAGAGAGGAGGAGGGGGTTACAAACCTCATTTCCCAGCAATTTGTTATGAAGACCCGCCCTCCCTGAATCCCAAGGTCAATACAGAAAGAGGGGCAACACCTGCAGTTTGAGAGGTGCGAGCTGTAGTTTTTTTGTTTGGTTGGTTTTTTTTGGCAGTTCTGGGAACTGATCTCAGGGCCCTGCGCTGGCCTTGAGTAGCAATCCTCCTAAGTTCACCTGGTAAATAACTGAGATTACAGGCATGTAACACTACCACCACACCCTGCCTCAATCATTTTTGGATGACTGAAATGCAGACTTCTGGTGTGTACAGAGACCCAAGCACTGCTCACCTTTTTATGGGAGAGGCAGGGACTGCTAGAGAAGTGCAGGATGTCACTAAACCTGGCTAGATGTAATCATTCCTAGGGAGGCTGGGCTGCTGAGACCTATCCTTCATGCAGGCATCAGGATCAAATGCAAAAAGTACTTGTACACAATCAAGTTGTAGAGACACTACTTCTGACAGAGCCACAATTGGTGAAGAGTAAGAAAATTGCTGACCAGAATTTGGGCTGAGCTCTAATACAGTATGTACTTAAGTAATATTCTGGTCAGGACTGGTCTTCATAGCCCAGTGGCTTAGAGACAGGAGCTGCTGCCCTTGCTTCCTGCCCCAGACAAACAAGTGCAGAAAGCACCAGAGGGGCCCTGCTTGTGGCTGGTCTAAGGCAGATCCCAGCTTTGACTTCCTTCTGCACAGTTTGGTTAGAAGCAGCCCTTGGGAAGTCAGTTCCCTTTCTAGTACCTCCTATCAAAATTGGGAACTAAATGTGTCACTACAGAAAATCAGCACAGAAGGTAGCAATAAGGGTCAAAACTCTGAGGAACACAGAAACAAATGCAAAGTAGCAGAAGTCGCTTTCTACAATCAAATCACTTACTATTTTAAATGTAACAAGATTAAATGCTCCAGCCAAAGGGCAGAAATTAGTACAGTGGCTAAAAAACACCATCCCACTGTGTGCTGTGTACCAGAGCCTCACTATTGAAGTGAAGACACAAAGAAGTTGAACATGAAAGCATGGGAAAAGATTATTCCATGCAAACAGTAAGAAAAAGAGCTGAACTGGCTACACTAATGTCAGAAAAATAGCCTTTAGGTCAAAAACTCTTGTAAGAGACAAAGACACAATATATGGATAAAAGGGTCGATTCGTCCAGGAAGTGGTAACATATGCACCAAACATCTGAGCCCCAAGATACATGGAGCAAATGTTAACAGAACTGAAGGGAGAACTAGATGGTTCTGCAGTAAGAGGCAGGAGATCTTAATACCATCCTCTCAAAAATGGGCTGAACAACCAGACAGAAGGATAAGGAAACAGAGAACCCAAACACCACCAGAAGCCACATGAACCCAGCACACGTGTGCACAACACCAATCCAACAAGAGCAGAATAGACACATGAAACTGTCCCCATGATAAACCATAGGCTAGGCCATAAATACAAGCCTTCGTGATTTAGGGAGACTGAAATTATGCAGTGTCCTTTCTAATCAGAACAGAAAGAGACTAAAAGCCAACAATAGAAGGAAAAGTGAAATATTCACAAATGTGAATTCCATGCCTTAGCTGTGTAACCAAAAGAACTGTAAACAGGGTCTCACATGGGCTCCTGGTGCCAGTGCCCACAGATTATTCACAGTAATTTTAATTGAATTCTGCATCTAAAAGGTGGGAACAACCCACATGTCCATGGAGAGACAAATGGATGGACAGAATGATACAGCCATACAGTGAAGTATTAGCCTTAGACAGGAATGAGATTCTGACACTCACTGTAACACAGAACTTTGAAAACATGCTAAACACAACATGAAAAGACAAATATATGAGTCTATTTACAGGAGGTGCCTAGAAGAGGCAAAATCAGAGAGCGCAGAATGGAGGAGAGCTGGGGGAGGCAGTTACTATTTAATAGGGAGAATTTGTTTGGTAGGATGGATACGTTCTATAGATGAATGGTGGTGAACACATGCTACCCAGCTGTGAACTGAAATGGTTTAAATGGCGAATTTCATGTCTATGTTGCCATAACTAAAAAGTTAAGAACTAAAATGAGTAGCTGCATGTTAAGAGGAAGTTGTCAGATTATCCTCTCAAAATACACCCCTGGGAGATTTTAGGACGTCACATTTCTCAATACAATCTCTGCACAGATAAAGGCATTTTCTATTACTCATGATTAGCTCTTAAAATTTTATCAAGAAAGGTGCTTTAAGAAAATAAATATAAAAGGCTTTGTGGTAGTATAATTGGAGCCTTTGCTACTTAAATCCTGTACGTCTCGAGAATTCAACCTGTGTCCAAGAGTGTCAATGCCATTAAAGGAAAATCACCCTAAAAAGTGTTCTTGGAAACCCAAGTATTCACTTGCTTTTTTTTTTTTTGTGGTACTGGAGCTTGAACCTACACCCTAAGCCACTATACCAGCCCTTGTTTGTGTTAAGTATTTTTGAGATAGGTTCTCCCAAACTATTTGCCAGGCTGTCTTCAAACCGTGATCCTCCTGATCTCTGTCTCCTGAGTAGATAGGATTACAGGTGTGAGCCACCGGCACCTGGCCTCACTTGCTTTTTTGATTGCACACCCCACAACTCAACAAATTCATCAGCCCACTTAACACAGTAATTCCCTCCATAGTTTTTAATACTGTGGCTGTTAGCAGACCATGTAGCAGACCATGACTCCACATTACCTCTGATCGTAAGACAGGGCCATGGCCCGGATTCCAGCGTCACAGCCTGGGTAGGCAAAGAGCTTCTTGAGGTCAGACACCTGCCACACCATCACCACACCGTTGTCTCCTCCTGTGAGCAGGTACTGCCCGTCCCGGCTCAGCTGCATGGCCTGTGGGGCACAGGGACATTCAGTTCTAGGAAAAGGTCTCCTGTGCGTGAGACTGACTCACTGCTGCTGCAGCAGTGCAGGGTGGGGGCAAAGGGGATCTTAGGAGTTCTAAGCAAATTTGGAGTGGTAAAAGGGCTGCTGTTTTTCAAAAAATCAGTTGCATAAGGTCAGGCAATGCTAGAGGTTTTCGTACTTTTTAAAAAAAATTTATTTTTTATTGCTGTGCTGGGTGTACATTGTGGCATGTACAAAAGTTCTCATGACATATCAAACATATCATGTTTGAATTCACCCCCTCCATCATTCTCATTTATCCTCTCTCCCCACCCCAATTCCTGGATCAAGCTTTTGTATTTTGAGGATGAAGTGGCAAACCCTTTTGGTCTTACGAATGCTTCTGAGTGGTGTGGGTTTAGACAGAAGCAGCACTGTGCTGTGGAGCCCTGGTGGCTCTCCCACCGCACTGCACATGTGCTGACCTGATTTACACCAGGGCTTGGTTGGCAGAGGCCAGCTGACCCCACATCCTCCACAAGATGGGGGTGCAGGGCAGCATCAGCACCTCTATGTCTACTGGATTTTGACAGCAGTGAGGACAAAGACTTGACAGAGAACTACCACTTTCTGGGCAGTTAAGCCCCAGTTGGGAAAGCTGTAGTATTTTCTTACCCAGGACTGCCAACACTGCAGCTGGCCTTCTGGTCAGCTCCAGGCTGTGCCCAATCCTGCTCTGCCACCTAGATTGGATGGCACAGACTCGAATTTGCTCTTTGATCCCATAAGACAGGCATCCCTATGATAGCCTGTGGGCTGATTGGAGACCATTGCCTACTTCCTGCTTTTGGAAGACTTTCACATTTTTTGATGGTTGGAAAAAATGCATTTTTCATGACACATGAATATTATGTGATTACAAATGGGAATGCCCATGAATACCCAGTGGCACCTATTTGTCTGTGGCTACTTTAACTTTCACATATAGTTGTAGCAGAGACTACAGAGCACTCCAAGCCAAAAATAGGTCCTGAACGTCCCTGTAGAGAAAAGCGCTCACTCCTCCTCTCTACTTCCACAGCCATTGCTGTCCCCTCCTCTGCTCCTACCACCTGTCCTCTAGCCACTCTTCCTTTCCTCCTTATGACACAACTCTTCCCATAGCTGGTGGCATCAGTTCTAACAGTCCCCACAAGCACCTGTCATCATCCTCCTGGGCACAGTGGGCACAGGAACAAAGATTGTGCTGGCCACCAGAAAAAACAAAATGTAACTTCTGAAAACTAGCCTGTTTTGCAGTTTTAGTATAATTGCCTTGTCTTTACCGCTGACAAATTTCTTTAAAAATCTTAGGAAGGCAAGGGCTGTTTTGTACCCATTCAATTCACATAAATGCCAACTTTTGGTAGCCTCTTAAGTATAGCTTATTCTTATGAACACAAAAGTAAACCTAAGAAAGAAAAGCCCAGGTGTGGAAAGCAGTTACAGATAAGATATATTCTCTAAGTCTTATTAACTAAATACATAGCTTAACATTTTTCAATACAGTACAAACCAGTGTCTTCTCCCTCATCTGGCTCACAAATGCCAGTCTCTAGGGTATCTGGGAGCTGCAGTGAAAACCAAGACAAATAATTATTTGCTACACTTATAAAACTCAGCTGAAGAAAATCCATTAACCTTCCGGTTGTGGTTCACTTGAATTTCATACTTGAGGCTTTTTACTAGATAAGAGCTACATTAAAACAGAAATTAAAACCATTAATCTTTAATTCTTTGTTCTAGTAAAGAATCTCTAATCCCACTTCTGTCTGGAATGAAATAAAACCTGAACTTTTAGGTTGATGCATTCATCAGCATTCAAACACTTCAATGAACCAGGCGCCTCCCAAGGTGAGAAAATATTTTTCTGGTGAGGCTCTCTCATGAGGAAACTGTTTCCTCTGGTATGAGAGCCAGGGCATCATCTACAGAATTGCACCCTGTCTTCCACCGGAGCAAGGTTCACGTGGTTCTTAATTCTAATCCAGCTCCTCAGTATCCAGGTCAGGTTTATGGCAGGGAATTTGAAGAGGGCCCCAGGGATGCCGTAATCTCACCCTCTGGATCTGGTGTGCTTTGGATAGGGCTGTGGTAGCACTAGCTTTTAAGGAGGTACCAGCAGGCCACAGCAGTCTGTTGGGAATGACCATATCCTGGAGCTCCAGGAAAAGAAAAGAAATGAGTCCCTATGGGTGAAATGGTGGTTATCCTTTGTTTACGATGAAATAACTTTGCTGCTGTGAATGGACTGCCAGCTTAAATTTAAGTTACTCATTAAGACATCTCAACACTATCTGGTTGATGTGCTGTGATATACTATTCACCAAAATGCCACTGAACAATCTGGCATCTAAAATAAAAACAGGTGGGAAGCCTTGATTAGCACAGAGGTTGCCTGGGCTGCCTGCCTGCCTGCCTGCCTGCAGGATTCTTGGTATTTCAAAGAAACTTAATGTCTGAGCTAGTAACTGATTCGTTCTCCCACTCTCCTCTCCTTACACAGGCTTAGGTGTGGGATGGAGCTGGAGATTCTGCTCTGAGATGTCTCTGATTCCCAGCCCGGAGTCTGGAGCCAGGGCCAGGTAGTGCTCCTGCACGCCAGCCTGCTTTAATCACACAGTTGCCACTTGCAAGTCAGCATGATAAAGTGCAGAAGTGCAGGGGAAAGGCAGTGAGTTGTTTAGGCCTAATATCCAGTGGGAAATATTACAGAGGGAAAGAACGATGGCTGCAGGGCAAAGAGAAGCAAGCCTGTGCGTGTGAATAGGCGAGAGCTGCGGGAACTTTCCAGGGCTCTGGTCTCACTGCAATGCCACACAAACAGCTCCAGCCAGTGAGGGATTTCAAATACAGATTTATTAGTGTAGCTGACAATATAATTGCAGCTCAAAGTGACAGATTATCAACATTATTACGATAAAGAAAAGAGGAAGGGAAAATCCTCTGATGTGTACTTGGCTTAAATACAGTATTAATGGGAAAGAAGGGAGAAATAAAAGCAGAGTGTAAGTGTGTCTGTGCGCGCCCTTGTGGTGGAAGCAGAGGGAGCAAGGCAAAGCAGCACGGGCCCTTGATTTGACCAATGTGACCTATCTTCAGGGCATTTGCTCCTTTTGCTTCCCAATGCTGGTGTTTATGGAAGAAAGTCTCAAAGGGGATCTAGGAAACAGGGAGAACTTATATCATCTAAGCTGCCCAGGCTGAGGAAAAATAATGAGTGAAATGTCCAGAGTCAGCCCACATCTACCTCAGAGGGCAGAGGCGCCTGTGACCCTGCTCTCATGCCTGGCACATCCTGGGTCCTCTCACTGTACACAGGTCATGGGCACCCCCACCCACATTTTCCCTCTACCTCTCTAGGAGCTTGAAGGTGACAAGGGATGGACCTTGAAACTAGCTCCAAAACAACAGTGTGGCTCTTTTCCTCACTCAACCACTAGCACTCCAGAGCCCAGTGCTGAAAAGTTATGGGAAGACCCACAGCATTTGCATTTCTTGCAGGTCAGAAGAAGGGAGGGTGATGACTCACATTGGCATTTGATGTATTCTTGCTGTCATGAAGAAGTCAAGTCTGACATCAACTGCTAACCCGAAGACGTCCTAATCCCTCCAGCTCCCACCCATTCACTGTAGAGAAAAGCCAGTTTTACCTGTAATCCTATCTATTATGTTAGCTTTGATATTCAGAAAACAGTGGGCAGTAAACTTCCTCAGTTAAAGCAACTACAAACTGTACTTCCATTCAAAGCCACCTAGGCTGGCTTCACATGCTCATGAGGAAGCCCCTCTGTTGAGGGCCATCAGCTTCCCTGAGCGACTGCACGCAGTGAGCATCCACTAAGCCATGCAACGCTGAGCCTGCTGTGGCCCTGAAGTGTCTCAGCCTCATCCGGGTGCTTCCTAGTGATGTTTCACTGGCCCTCAACAACTCCAGTGTTCTACTCTCCTCCTCATGTGCCACATTGCAGTAAAAACTGAAAATGCACAGAGCCTGTCTGGTGCTCACCCTTATGTGGTCATCTGTTTCCATGGTGGCCTGGAGTTTTCCATTTACACTGAATGTGCAGAAGCAGCCATTTTCATAGAAGATGACACAGTGACCCTCTCTGGAAGCCTGGATGAGTTTGGGTTTCAGGCAGTTTTCAGGACCCTCCAAGGTCCTTAACAAGTCTCCATTCATGGAATGTATGAGACATGGTCCTTCTGAGAAGAGAGGAGAAACAAAGACAAAATTAATTAAAAAAATGTGATGAAAACTGGGGCTGTAGCTCAGTGGTAGAGCACTTGTCTAGCATGTGCAAGGCCCTGGGCTCCATCCCCAGCACTCAAAAGAAGAGAAACAGACATTGTGATCTGAATCTTGAGCACAGACCAGCCAGGGCTACAAGGCACACTGCAGCTGTAGAGGCCATGAAGAGCTATAGCATCTTACACTGCTGTTATTTCGCAAAACCTCTCTGTCATTTGCCACCTCTTCCCTCTTCTACTGGGAGAGAAGACAAGCCAAAGTCATAAGCCTTCAGGTTCACTTTTCCTCAAGAGACAAGTTACTTTATGAAATTCATTATGTCAAAGTGTGAGACAACTGCAAGAATTCAGATAGGCACAAGACAATGTTTAATTAAGCATTAGAACAGTGTCTTGGAAGGCTGGGATGCAGAAACATGGGCTGCTGTCAGGGACAGTGTGACCTGGGGGTCATGCGCTGTGGCCTGACAGGGCAGCTTCTGAAGGCTGAGGCCATCTTCCCTCCCACTGCTCACTACTTTACACTGAAAGGGAGACCCCGGTAATCATGACACTCTCCCTCACCCTCCCCCCCAAAAAAAAATCACATAGGGATCATTCTGACACTTCTCTTTGGCAACTGAGTGACTTTACTTTTCTAATGTCCCCAAGCAAGTAACAGCATCCACTACTTCCAATTCCCCAGGCAACCCCATCTGAGAAGACTGCAGAGGATGGGGACACAGCAGAGTCTGTACACCTCAGCTTTTCAGCTTCTACTGTGTTCTGGCACATGCAAAACATAGCAGTAGATAACAGAAACTGTTAGTGTGATGAGAAGGTTCCTAGAGATGATGGGGTCAAAAAGACTGCTGGGTGTGTGCCCTGCTTTTCTCTTGGCCACATTACTTGTCTGTAGACCCCTCTGTAAATAACAGCTGGGCATTGTGACCTGTGACCAAAATATCCCTTTTTGCAAAGTCTGTTGGTATTGATCACTGCCTATCTGTAGCTCTGGTCATGCCCAGGCAGAGAAGGCAGTAGGTGTGTTGCCTTCTTATCGCACAGTGATAAACCCATGTGTCATTTTATAAGAATGGGTAACAAAGACGAAACTTGAACAGAACAGAGAAATGAAAATTGTAAGGCTGAAAGTAGAATCTGAACTGAATATAAATGGTATTATAAAGAGAGAGCTGTTTGTGGGCTGTGGACCCATGGAGACACTGGATATGCAGCCAGGAAACGAGTGAAGGGAACCCATTGGCATTGATCAGGAAAGCAGCTGTAACAAAACTGATGTCCCAAAAGAAGTGACACCAGGAAAAGCCTCACATTAGAGTAACCCCAGAGGACTCTTCAAAAGAAAGAGTCCACACTGAAAGCACAAAACAAAACATGGGCACCTGGTCCAGACTTGGAGAGGAACACAGCAATTCCTCGAGCACAGATGTGATGCTTGCTCTTCCGTGTTGGGACAATGTGGGATGCACTGCTCCAAATGTTCTTAGGGAGTTTTTCACAAATAGAACACTTTAATTCTTGATGTTTCGAATGTCTTCAATTACAGTGTATTAACTAAAAGTGAGCTTTACTATTTTTTTCATGTTCTTATTCATGCACACATAAATCTCAAGAGTTTTTCTTTAATTTTTTGACAAAAAAAACTTAGAGGCCATGGAAGAATCATAGAATTTCCCATGAAGTATCAAGATCATTTTGTGTGATTTCAGCTTGCACAGACAGTTTTTACAGTCCACACTAATGTGCAAAGCAAGGATGGCCTGCAATATGATAGGGTAATTTCACATATCTAATTTGGATTGCATACAGTCCAAAAACTGTATGCAACTACTTCACTGTTTGATCAACTAAGTTTTTAAGCACAATCCTTTAAATATTTAATATGCCTTGTTAGCTGACTAACTATTACTGTTCAGGACACAGATAAGGTGACTCAAATACTCTACACTTTCCCACTAGAGAAACCTAGAAAATATGAGATTAGACTGCTCTCTGTGTTCAGACTTCAGCTCAAAGCAGAGAAAGAGATATGGACAGATTGTTATAATGACAGAGCAATGGACTGGAAACAGCCCTGTGGATCCTGAGTGCCTCCAACACAAACTAGCTCAAGTCTCTTTCCACTCCATTCAGTGACACTCTAGCTCCCTCCTTCTTAGTCTGAAGATTTGGAAGTTAACACAGACAGGATCAGGATTATCATTCAGGTGTGAGATGGAACCCAACCACTCAGAGGCTGAAAGAATAAACAAATACACAAAGATGTTTCTGTTCCTGCCTCACAGAAGGGAGAAAATTCACGAGGTATTGTTTGTAAACATCTTAAAACTCTTTAGAGCAGTGCTGTGAAGTGACTTTCCACAGTGATGGAATGTTCTGGTCTGTGCTGTGCAAGATAAAAGCCCCTAGTCATGAATACTGAGCTTCCGAGCATCCTGAATTTTGTACTGTATTTCATTTTAGTTAATTTATACTTAAATTGCCTCATGTGCCTGATGGCTACTATAGCCAACAGAAATTTCACAGAAAAGGAATCTACTTCACCTGCCGAAGCTTGTTATTAGAAGACAGCAAGAAAGGCACACACTTTACAAATCTGCTGCACTTTACCTAGGGAGCCACTTAACACCAGGCCCAGCTCAGCACAGATGGCAGCACACGTGATCTCGCAGTCATGCCCTGTTAGAATGGCCCGGGGAGTGGTGGTCTCACCTTTAGGGAAAAAAACACAGAAAAGACAAATCAAGTTCATTAAGATTACATAACAACATACCAATTCCTGTCATACCAAAACCTTTAATTTATACTTTAAGAATTTGTTCAAAAAGCCTATTTTAGGACTAGATCCAAACTTATATGATACAGCTTGATTTTTGAGGTTCACATATTGCTGAATTTCATGAATCCTTATGTGATTATCCAATCACATAATCAATGAGGTTGAAAGGTCAGAGTTACAGATGATCAAACCTGCATTCTAAGATTCCTTGGCTACTTCCCAAATATTTGTACCTTCCAACAGTCTCTCTTTTGAATACCTATTATCTTTACTATGCTTATACATTTTTCTGATAAAGAAATCTCAGAGTGTATTTCCCCATGCCTCATTCACAGAACAGAGGAAAAAACTAAACCTCACATGTAATTCTACTAATGGTGACTGAAAATTAGGGAAATAGGGAGGGAGAAGAAAGCACAGAGAAGGAATATCCCAATAATGGGAGATGTTTCCAAACATTTGTACAGTTAGAAAGAACAAGTCATTCTGCATCTTTGCCCCAAACTAAAAAGAAAACTGTGGTTGGCTGGTGAGGAGTCCAGTCCATGTGGCCCCAGCCTAGGTAAGTAACACAATCATGGGCTTGAATTGTGGCCTGACTCATGCCAAGGCTCACAGATGAACTGGTTTCATATTTAGCCTGAAGAACACTATTTTGAGACAAAACTTGTCCTCTATGTTTATAGTCTGCAAAGACAAAGACACAAAGACCTTTATAAATAGAACTAAAGAGCAGAATTCTGTTTCCATTCTTAGATTCCCAATTTGAACTGGTCTTACCGCATTCTATTACTGATACTGTGTAATCTACAAGATGCAAATGGGCTCAAAAAGTAGGCGCTACTACCAGCTATGGAAAAGAATACTTGGCTATCCTTAGAGCATTCACCCACTCTGAGGAAACAGTTTTCATAGGTCAGGAGAACCCACCAAAAACCTACTGCATTGAGAAAGGCAAATGCTACTGTCACAAAACTAATGTGGCCTCCAAAGCAGGGGTCAAGCAGTGGGTTCTTTCAAATTTCATGCCATGTATGTGCATATGCCTGTTTTACTAGGTGGCATGTGGGTGGGGGTGGGGGTAACAACAGGTTTAATTGAAGACACAGAGATCTATGACCAAAAAAGATGAGAGGCCTCTGCTATGAAGAACCTTCCTGTGCTTCCAGCCCTACCTCACCTGAAGCCAGTGATGAATTCAGGTTCTGCATTACACATAATAGTTACAGCCTATGTTTTCAAGTATAAAATATACAGCTGTGTCCTCAGAGTCTGTTATTCAGGTCCTTCTGGATGAAGTTTCAGCCATACCAAACTTTGTGCCGCAATGTATGTGGAATGCTAGCAGTGCTCTGTGTGGCTGAATGCTGGGGCTGGTGGACATGCTGAGTGATGGACGGAGACCTCAAAGGACAACACATTGAAAGGCTGGTGACAAGTGGGCAAGGGGCTTTGGTTTACTTTGATTTCAAGTTTAAAAACTTCTTTGGAGTGGCATACCCACCAGTTTACTTAACATTTTCCAAACCAAAAAGAGTATGTCATAGGGCAATTTTTTTCTTGAAAAGTCCACAAATTTAGAAAAAAAAACTTAAGGAAAGAAGCAAATAATGCAAGCCAATCTGAGCTACTTAACTTTCTGTTAAACATACTCTTTGCCATCAGATTCAGAAATAAATATGCTGTGTTTGAAAAATGAACAACACTTTAGCCCAGATTCATGTTCTTCCCCTTTCCCATGAAATTCTAAATTCCACAAAGACACCATACACTATTATTCTTGAATTGCTGTCTAAATTATATTGGTTGGCAACTTTCCAATAATTAAAATCATTATGATCTAAGGAAAACAGTTTTGGTGTGATGCTCCTTTTTTGTTTTCATAAGTAACCATTTTCATGGGGAGTAGGATTTCTTTTTTACCTTGAATTGTCTTGGAATTCCTCAATGGAAGGTGAAGGTTTGAAGGAAAACTGATGGCAAATGAAAGCAATTTACATAAAAGCCAAAGTAAATAAAGGACAGAGGGACCATGGTGACCCAGCAGATATCCTCAAATGCTTTTTGTTTTCTAGATTTAAGAATATCTGCTCAGAAGCACAGTGGAAGAAGGGAGAAGATTGCTGTTAATTGCGTTTCCTTAATGTAAAAAAGTTGAAATACTGAGAGTCTGAGGAATATGAAATCAGACTTCAGGAAGTCTTACTTAAGGAAGACTTACTTAAGAGTAAGCATTCTCTCTTGCAAACTCATTAAGATTTTTTTACAAGTATGCTTTACTCACAAAGCACAAGTTTCTAAGAATCCAAAATATGCCAAATCATTTTTACCCCATAAATCAGAAGACACACATACATATAGAATCACTTCAAAACTGAAAAAAGGTTTTTCTTTTTCCAGGGCCTGATTGCTAAATAAGGAACTGTTCAGTGCTAGGAGTTTGGCTTCAAAGTGTGGCAAATATTTCCTAATCCAGGAAGCAGGTTAGACGGTTGGGGGGGGGTTGGGAAGGAGAGAGGGAGAGAGAGAGACAGAGGGAAAGAGGGGAGGGAGAGAAGGAGGAGGAGGAGGAGGAGGAGAATTCTTTTAAGGGAAGCTGCGTCCAGTCTGGCTTATAGGATGAACTGTGAGCTCCCTTTATTATCTGCTGTACAGATCAAGCATTCTTCACATTTTCTCCTTATCAAAAAATTATGTTGGAAATAAAGACCTGTTGGATTTTTATAAATTCCAATAAACCAAGAGCTTTAAATACTGAAATTTCACTACCGCCAATCTAATTCTATGATGTTGGGTTTAAATCAAACAGGAATAAACTACTTAAGCTCAATGGACATTTTGGGAAGCACTTAGAATGAAATGAAGGGGAGAAGAAAAAATGGGAGGCAGAACACAGGCTTTCCAGGGGGCTCATAGAACCTTTTCATTTCTCTGTAGTTACACTGCTACACATCATACCGAATCATGGCAGAGTCCAGTGACAACATCGCACAGAAAGGAAAGGCACAACCCCTCCACCTTTCCATGTGGAAAGCCATGTACTGGATCTCTAGCAGCCCTCCCCACCACTTGTCAGTTTCTACAGAGCATGCCCAGGTTATTTTTTTTGATACAATCCTGCAATATTAACGGACACAATCTTTACCTTTGCTTTCTGAGATAGCAGGATCTCCCAAAGCCTAGATCATAAAGCAGAACAGATTCCCTTAAGAACCTTTTAAAGTCTAACTGCTTGAAAAATCGTCATGGCTTTCAATAATGCTGAGAAAAAATTTTCTTGCTGCTAGTTTAAGAAGCTACACTTCAAACTTCTTAAAGAAAAATAAAAGGAGAAAAAGGACAGACTTCTAGGGCTGCTTTGAAAAGCTTGAGTAATTACTTCAAAGGAAAGGGGTCTTTGTCCAGAGAGCAGGTTTATGACTACTGATGCAAATCCAACCCAAAGGCTGAAAAGGAGACTCGGTGCATCTTTATGGATGGCCTTAGAGGAAGATGAACAAGTCAAATGAGATTAAAGATAGTGCAAAGCCTGCCGTGAATACCGGGACAGGCACCAGTTTTTACAGATGTGTTTTTCTTGGTACCTACTACCACATACATCAGTACTAACTTATACTCTATTATAATAACTCAACTTGTATTTAAACAGCACAAGAGCTCCATAATATCCTCTTAGCATTTATACTGGACCTATGTCTTAAAATATTAACAATTATTTTAACACCATTAGAAAGAGTAGCAAATGTTTTTCATCAGATGTGTTTCTTTGGCGCCATCATGATATTAAATGTTTCTCTATCAAATGGATCTGAACCACTTAAAACTTTATACCTAAAAGTAGAGAGATGGAAACAGTAACTCCTCTAGTATCCTGTTCATAAATATCTAAATGAGAAAAATATTTCTTAAGGTCTACTGTCATTAAGGCAAGTGGAATTAATAATCTAGGTATAAACACCCAGGACATGTATTTCTGGTAAACTTTTGGTTACTTTTTAAAAAACTGCATTAAGTTCTTGATATTTTGGGCATCATCTCTTTAGTCTTAAGAAAAATGAAATCACTTTCAAGTACACTGTAGAGTTCTGATTAGCAACTTAAACATATTAGCAGAGTGAATCCCTGTAATTCATTCACCGTTTTCTTCAATAACATCTGTTATAAAATAAAGTGGATTCAACATTTCCTTTTTCTTAGTCTAATAAAAAATAAAACAATTTTTCCAATTAATACTTAGTTTAGGTGACTCGTGGGCCATAAAATAACACATGCCAACATGTTTGCTCTTTCCTTCACTCTTTCATTTACTTAATAACATTTATTGATATGGTAGGTATTATGTACAATGCATTGTACAAAATAAGGACTGGAATAAAATATGGTCTTTTATTTGGAAATGACTTGATTTTAAATAGTCATTGGTGTCTGGGGGTGCAGCTCAGTGGTAGAGCAGTTGCCTGCATAAGCCTAGAATTCAATCCCCAGCAGAGCAACAAAACAAACAAAAACTCCAGAATTAAATGCTTTTGGATTAGGCTTTGTCAATTTTACTATAAACCTGCAATTTATAAGCATCTATTATTGTAAAGGTTAAAAACCACCATACTGAAATCCAAACTACCATTATAACTGCTTTGTTAAGCAAAATCATTATTTATCATTAAGTCCTTAAATAAGAACAACCAATATAAACTTCCACATTACTAAAGTCTAGTGTATCTGAAGAAAGGTAAAACATGGGGGAAGGGGGGGAGAAATGACCCAAACATTGTATGCATATATAAATAAAATAAAAATTAAAAAAAAAAAAGAAAGGTAAAACATACTGTGAAACTTGACTTTGTTCAAAGGAATTCAATAGAAGTCATTTTGAAATTAGATATATTTATTTGTTAGAAAAAAACTAAATACATAGTGAACTTCTTAAGTACAT